ATCGTAATAATAATAGCTCTGAGAAGCCATATTATCACCACATTCCTGGGTTTGAGATAATAACGCTTGGATGCCCATGCATCGGATCCGTTACCCCAAGCGATGCCCTTGCGTTCCCCCACTTGCATCACTTCAGACTCCCTCCCCAACCATGCCCCAACCATGCTCAACTACACTTCATCGGTACGAGCTTGTTCGAGAATCGCGCCCCTTCCCTTCTCCGACCCAAAACCATGGGACGGGAATCCTTCCCTGTAATTCCCTGCAATTGATTTTTGTTGATGAAGAGATAATAGATGCCTGACGCCTCTGGGAGTGGGCAAAAGGCCCCATCGTCGGGTGTCGGGTGGACGACAGCCAACCACGGGGACTCCTCTCTACATGGATATTTACAGGCACCTCATCGATCGCCTGTCCTAACTCATTGTCCTTTGTGGGTCCCAATCTTGAGGAAAAAGATACCATTGTGACCCCCTTCAAAGTTCTCTGAACCTCACAAGTCACGTTGATTGAGCGTTTGGGGACCCTGGGCGAGAATTTCAAGCGTGGTCCTAGCTGGCACTGGCGAGAGGGTGATTCGAGAAAGAGCTCCAACCCATTGGGTCGGGATCTCCTAGCTTGCTCGTCATCTTGATCTCTGTGGAGGCCGGCATCTTGGTGGAAGCTGATTCTGGGATTGGAGCTAATATTATCCTTTTGCGTGTTGCACCCTTCCCTTGTTACCTTGTTCGAGGCTCAGCCATCTGGTCGGGTAACCTGGAAAGCCCCTGAGGGCATTTCGAAGTAAAATCGAAGCTCGCTCCTGCCATTGATAGGATGATACAAATCAAGAGGCTGATACTTGTACTTGCGAGTGACTGAGCCATGGTGCTAGTCTGAGACGTGGACCAACGAAACGCGAGAATTCCATGGGGCTATGTTGCCGTGAATATTGATGACCAGGCTCAGCTCAATCTCCGTCCCGAGCTGATCCAAGCGATTCGCTTTCTCAAGACCAAGGAGATATTCCACCCAGGACCTTAATGATCTTTTTCTTCTTCTTTTCTTTTCTTTTCTTATTTTGACCCGCCAGCTTGAATCTCACATCATTTGACTTCAGCTTTGGCATTGATTCCCTCTAGGCCTGAGATGAGGCGCACTGCCCAAATTATTAATAGAACTTGAACTGAGGAGTTGATCAGAGGCCTAGAGATTCTGCAGTCCGCTCTCACTCGGAGCATTGCAAACGGACGCACCCCCTTCTGTTGCTTCCCGTTTCGTCGTATCTCCTCCCCGCCTCCAGTGCTCCTTCCCTTATCAGCAACTCCGTTCGATCCTCTAGCATTCTTGGAGGGACTTGACCCGTTTGATCCGTTTCACTTCACCTGCTTCGCACCAGCCTCACGCAAGAGGATTAGAATGGGAAGGGAAGGGAAGATAACGGGTGGCAGCTTCCACTTGCTAAGCCCGATTGAGCCTTTTGGCCTGTACCATCTTTGTCGTAACAGTCTAGTGTAGATGGTGGAGTGGCAGACGAGACGGGTTGACAGATTCCCACTAGCTCGAGCCGAGGCATGGGGTACAGAAATTCATCATCTGGTTCCGGCGTCCCGATTTCCGGGTGCTCCCCGGATTAGCGCATCTCGGATTGAGTGTGTGAAAGGGCGAGGGAGACGCTTTTGTTTGCTGAGGCGTTTGAGAGGATACGCAAGTGGCAATAGAAACCGCTCTATGGATGCAATCGGACGACGATTGACGAAGGGGGCCAATCATCCTGGGGCCGTCCCGAGTTTGACGTTGAGCCCTTTCCGGCATCCAAGGGACGATCAAGATGACCGTATTGGTCGTGCTTGTTGGCCTTTTGCCTCTCTCTCACTCTCACTCTCGTTTTCTTTTTCTTTTTCTTCTCTTCATCAGGCATCAACTTGGTTTTATAGCGTCGCAAATCATATCAGTCCCTACCGACCCACTAGGATTGGCATTGAAAAACATGAGACGGACGGAAGCGGCAACCGAGAGATGAGTGGTAATTACGATTCGATGTCTACGATTGACCGGAAGAAGAGACAATCACACACACTCAGTGCTCTTTTGCTCAAAAAAGGCGGGGATCGAGGAGAAGGCTCCAACTGAGCACGATCCTGCAATTAATGATCTCGGGGAACCTCTTCTTGGGATCTGAAGACGTCCACGACGACCCTGACAGAAAATGGCAGAAATCGCTACTTTTTTCTTCTTTTCTTTTTCCTGGGTTTAATTTGTTCTTCTCTTCTTGGATTGATGTGTATTGATCGCACATTAGCATTGCTATTTTCATTAGTCTTTGGCGGCAAGGTCCCGGAACGTCTGCACCGTGCTTTTACGCCAAAAGAGAAAGGGCTGTCCAGCGGAGCATCTGTATGTCAAGGTGTGACGGTGTGCATCGGGCGAGAATTTTTTCCAGATATCGCCGGTATGGTCACATTCACCGAGAACGAGCGAGACCAGCGACCAGGTCTCTCCTCGTTGACGGGTCCACCAAAGGCGCTGCAAACTGCCAGCTCATCAACTGATGGTGCATCAACTGCCCTTGGAAGGAGCACTGCTTCCTTTCTTTTCCACCCTCTTTCTGTGTTGGCAAGAGAGGAGTGGATACCCGCTAAGCCAGCACCCTAGTGTAGCTATTCGGTCCCAGTAGCTCGGAGGAGGATAGAGCGACCCGATGGCCCGGCGAAGTATGAAACAAGCTCATCCCTGTACCTGAGAGCAAGAGCGCTGTTGGATTGATCCTTGTCCTGGCATAAAATACGAGTGCAGCCTTCAGCACAAGGAAACGAGCAAGGTCATGTATAACAATGGGCCAGGGAGCGAACTCCATCACTCAGAAAAGGAAAATAATAAAGAAAGGGGAAAAAGAAAGGAAAAAAAAAGAAAACGCCATTGTCGGTACAGAAAGCCATGATTGACGGTTCAAACAACCACAGCACCCCAAACTGTACAATTGATTGACCAATGGTACGTACTCAGTGGCACTGATCAATTGAGAGGTTCCGTTTCCACACTGAATACTTCGTACTTCTGGCCCCTGAACGTTCACATCGTTCGGTGACGTGCCCAAGCTCATTGCTGCATGCTTCGCCAGGAATGCACCATGAGCCGGGCACTCGCCTTGCATCCGCTGAAGTGAGTCTGGTGGTTTGTGCGTAGCCGAAGAAGAAGAAGAAGAAGAAGAAGAAGGGAATGTTTTCTTTGTCCTTGTTCTTGACCACTTGCTTGCCGGGAGCCTGTCGCGGACCAACGAACAAACCTTGATCAATTGCTCTCCCAACCTCTCAAGGGCCCCTGGCCTCATTCGGGCGGAAGAGGTGGAACTGACACTATATCCCGTTGTCTGCAATCTGGATCACTGGGGTGATTTGATGGGTAGAGAGACTAGTGTGTCTAGGCTAGACGTTCATTACTTGGTGCCTACACTACACAGGCACGCCCCAGTCGCGTCGCCGTCATGCGTACCGCACAGTACACAACACGATAAGTGACATTTACCACAAAGTACTACCGAGCTCAAGTACACATCGTACCTTTTGATTGTACCTTCCGGGGGCCACCCCTGAGAAGGGGGTGCCAGTTAGAAAGGAGCGTTCTTGAACCCAGGGGGACGAGACTTGACCGGGAGCTGGGATTGAAGGTGGAGAGAAGGGCCATAGATGCCTGTATCTGGTATAAGTACCTTTCTAAAAACGACCCCCCTTGCTAACACGCCCCCGTTATTTGCTCCGGGAACTCAAATTTTTGGTACTCTCTCAATCTCCCAGCGATGGAGGTCTCGTACACTCCAACGGGTGTCCCAGTCCAACATTGATTTGATGGGATCAACCCCTACCACCCCGTGCGGTTGCTCACTCTGTTGCGGTTGAGATGAAAAGTTTTTTTGTCGCTTTCTTTCTTTTTTCTCTGCCTTTGATGAGCCCTCCCTTTTCTTGTCTGGCATAGCTTAGGCTCGCTAGCTTGTTTCTTATAATAATATCCGTCTCCCATCTTCCCGTCCCTTCCCCTTCATCTTCCCTCCATTCCATCCTAATATAACTTCACTCCTTTTTCCTTCCCTCCTCTACTCCAACTCCTTCTCTTGTATAACAGTCTTCACTTTGCCGTTTCCTCTCTCGCCAGTCGTCGCCTTGCCGCTGCAGCCCTGCAACGTGCCTTACATCGCTCTCTCGATCAACCTGCACTAGACAAAAATAAACCCACGACTTGTTTGGACAAGGAACGGGGAAATAATAACAGCTCGCGCTCTTTTTCAAACCACAAAAAACTTGGACAAGCCGCAAGGACCCAAGCACACGAAAGCAACCACCTTGTACTGTATCAGCCGAAGTTGCCAGGCTCCAAAACCCATTCGCCGGTCCACCCTCATGCAACCGCACCGATAAGAGATAGTACACCCGAGGCCGTCTGCCACATTCAACTCAAACGGAGCTTCTCCATACCCAGCCCGCCAACTTCTTCCAGGGCTTCCGCCAGATTTGGGCGAACGTCACCGCTCTTCGTCGTGCTATCGCAAGGCTTCCTTGCATCGCTCCCCAAATCGCGAGACCAATCACAGCGCCCACAACCCCGTCCCTCCAACGGGGTTTGACGCTTATACGTTCACCTCGAAAGGGTTCCATAATTGTGAGTCAGAGCTCCTGTAACATGTCGCTGTGTGATGTGTTGGCATTTCCGTCCTGAATTTGCATCGCCGCGACTTGTGGCTTCGTCTTGCTTCTTTCTCAGCTTCTCCAAACCGCATGCGACTGGGGCGCGTCTCGGCACATGGGCCCCTTTGGCAACGGCCCATTGCTGCCCAGCGCACGGCGTGTTCCTACCCGCGGGACTAGGGCTTGATCGAAGATGATGTTGTTATAAGCAGCGCACAGCGGCCTTGGAAATGTGTTTTTCTTGTTTCTTTTCTTTTTTTCGAATGGAAAACAGTCGATGGCAATGGCTAACCAAAATTTTCTACTCTTACTCAGACTCCTATCTCAGCTTTTACCTTCACAATGTCCATCCGCGACTCTACTTCCAGTCCGACCAATATGGGGCGAGGGGCCTATGATACCACGGGAATTCCCAAGCCTCCCCAAGCCGAAGCCGCGATAAGCTATTCAAAGGCTGATACGCGGCCCGACACCGCTGTCTCGCCTGAGACGACCATTATCTCTCGCCGCACCCCTCGCGCCATGCTCTCCGATATGCTATCGCCCGACACCGCGCTCACCATCTTCTCGTTCACATCGATAGCTCTCGCGCTCTCCCAAAATATCCCGTTCTTCTCCCGAATAATCTCCCATGGCCGGGCATTCAGGCGACTGTACTTCATAGACATCTTTCCACTGTTGCTCTGTACGACTTAAGCGCCTCGTTTATTCTCTTATTTTTCTTCACCGTTCTCAACTTCGATCAGTCAACATTTCTGATACGACCTTTAATCCGTCTTTCCAATCGATCTTATACATGATATGGCTCACTGCCAAAACGCTTCCCAGCAGCGCGGGAGATTGGGAATACAGCGAAAAGCAAAGAGGAGGATTTCTTTTTTTACGATTGACATTGTTCGACTGTGGGCTTCATTTGGTTTTCGGCGTTACACAATAGATGGGTTCCATTTTAAAACGTTTCCTTCCCTCCCACAATTTGGCTGGTTTCTGGTTTCTCTCGAGCAATACGATTCACACTCTGGTTTCTCCTTTTGATTTATTTTCCTTTTCAAGATCAACCGGGCGAGGACAAGACTCATCAGATACCCCCTCATCCTCTGTGATATCTCTCGCAAGAGAGGTATCTCTCCCACTTCCCCATACGACCAGCTCAGAGTTTCCCTCCCTCGGCAACCACCATGGTGGCCAAGGCCTCTGAAGAACTGGCGGGGCTGGGTGCCTCTTTCTTTTTCTTTTCTTTCTCGCGATTCTCTTTTTGTGTGGACACATGGGCATGTGGGAAACAATCTACGGCGAACCTGGGTATCTTTTCTCCGTCGGCCCTTGAGCGGGTTCACTCTTGTTTCCTAGTGTTCCTTTTTTTTTCTTTTCTTTCTTTTTCCTTAACAGTCATGGGAAGGATTGTTTAAAAAGACTGGGCGGATCGGAAAAGAAATAACTATGCTTTTGCATATCCATAGACTTTTATTATTATTCAATACTTTGTTAACCATACTTTGCCTCGAACGCATTCTCTGTGACATTCCTTCCGGCCATTCGCCCACGTCCCCGACACTCCACTCTAAGAATCCTTCAAGTTCATCGATGGATGGATATCGTTAACAAGTTTAGCACATAGCGACTGTTCCCTGCTGTTCCGTCACGATGGTTTGTGAGGCTTTCTGACAAGTCGGACTAACCCTCCCGCGGAGCTTTTGCCGCGAGCCCCTTCTGACTGACGCAAGGCAAAGCGAGGCCTCTTTCCGGGGAAGACGGAAAGGAGGGAAGGGAAAGGGCTGCGCATAGTGTACATGTCGGGATGAGGGAGCTAGCGGGCTCCATCACGGCCCAGGGCGCCAGTGATTGCAAGTGCAGGATTGGGGGCAGCAGGTCACCGGCGTGAGTCGTCACGAAAAAGAGAGAGCCCCTGAAACGAGACGGGGTTCGTGTCTTTGCTTCTTTCACGTACATGTAGCCTGCCGAACACGCCCCCGCGCCAAGGAGATCTCTTTGGGATGCCGAAGTGGAAACGCATCACCCACGGCTCTCTTTGTCTCTTTGCTTTTCTCTCTCTCTCTTTTACTCCTTTCCCACACTATTCCTCCCGGGGAACGCCATCGTGGATCTTGGCTGTGGCTGATATCAATTGATCTGTGTCCCCCCATCCGCCTCTCCCATCTCGACATCTATTTAGCGTATGCCTGTTGTCCTTTGCTAGTCCCTAGCCCCGTCTGCTCGGGCAATCCTTCTTCTTTCTTTTCCCTTCCTTCGACAACATCGTCTTGCGCTCCAAACCAAAAAAAAAAAGTGCAGTATGTGGCACCTGCACTTTTGATGCCGGCACCGGGACCAGTTCCGCATCACACATCATGCACGCTGCCTTGTCTGAGTTGATCTTGGATCTAGGGTTGGCCGCCTCCGTATTTCCTTGGAAAGTTGGCAATCCAGAGGGGTCGTAGTGAGCCATCTTCGAGGTGTTACAGGCGGTGGGGAGTGAAGAGAGTGCAGATACAAGGTTCCCAGTAGTCTCAGAGTTGTTCGCTTTTCAGCTTTGCGAAACGAACAGGGCCTAGGTTCTTTTCGAGAGCGACTGGCTTTCCCTTCATTGAGATTGAGGGCGATCAACGGGCCAGGCTTGTTGCTTTTGTGCCCCAGTCGCCTGTTGCCTCTGTCTCTTTTACTTTTCTTTCTTTTTTTCCTTTTTCTTTTTCCCCCTTCCTTGGATACCTCCTTCCCCGCAGCTGTCGGGTATGTGGCATTTTGTCTTGCAATAATGCGCGCCAACAAATCCCTCCAGAAAAGACAATGGGAACAATAGTAGTGTCAAGGAGAAAATAAGAAAAAGAAAACAAGCCAAAAGCAAGGAAAAGACAACCATTGCTTGTCCTAAAGAGAAAGGTGAAGGAGGGGGCAAGCAAGACACGCAGATTTCTTTTTCGGGGGCTGGAGCCTTTCACCACCGTAGGACACCCATACTACGTCAAAGATATTCTCAAGAGGAAAATCAAAGTGCTACATTACCTATCCTCACTCTTCAAGAGAGAGACATCGCGACCTGAGACACCTGTAAAAGGTGTACTTGTACCGCAGCATGACTCTAGCTCAGTGCCGCTCGCTCCCTCTGCCACTTTTATACCGAGTACATGAGTAACTCTTCAGACTTATACCGCCAGGTCGTTTCTCCTTGCCAGCGAAACACATGGTGATACCGAAATTCCCCTCTTGACAAGCTTTGTGATAGGAAGGACAGTTTTAAAGGCGAGGGGACGGGACCGGGAAGCTGGGATATCCGCACCCCCAAGGCTCGCACACAAGCGACAGCACACCACACGGCGGGAAGGAAAAGAAGGTAGGTGATAGCAGAAGTGGCGCCCTTGAAGAAGCCATCGCCTCTCGCAGGGAACAGCTAATGACATGGGAAATAGGCTGAGAGGGTCCACCAAAGAAGGGGGTCCTTTGGGATCCGACAGCAAGAAAGGCTTGATCCCTCAGACCACCTTGTATGATGTGCCACCATCAATGTTCGAGGACGTAGAGGGAACGGCTGGGGGTTCGTTTGGGAGCTTGGTTTTTCGTTTCTGGGCACCGGGAGGCCCGCTCCGCCAAGCGGCACGTCCATCCCAGGTCCGTTGATGGCGGGTCTACTCGCAGAAGACTGACTGGAGTAATAGCAGCATTCCAAGCGAGGCTGTTCCCATTCCGGGCCCCCATTCCGGGGTCCGTATGAGTGTTGGACGTGGAATGCTTCATGAGGATGGACAACCCAACCTTGGATCGTGGAAATTGACCTCTCATGGTCTCCCTGTATCGCGTAGATCTATGGCTGAATTAGCCGCTTACCCACCCCTTGATCCCTACTCCACCACAATTACCCTACAAGACACTGCGGGATTTGCCTTGCAGTCTCCAATCACCCTGCACTTGAAACGGAGGATTTTTTTGACAGGTGCTCTCGAAGCGCGCAAGGAAGCTTTGCGGACGGGGATCAAAGCCCCCCTTTTCCTGGCATCCTCTGTGAATGGCCCAAACGGAGTTGTTTTTGCCGCGTACTATTGAGCTGGCCTGGGCTGTCAGGGATGGCGCAAGCCATGGCCAGCTCTCCAGGTACAACAGGTATCACCATGGTTGAAGTGGGCGAAACGAGAAAGAAAACAGGAATCGTGCGAGGTCGCCATGACCCTTTTGCTCCTTCTCGAACGGACGAGCTGTGTGGCCTTTTGTTCCATGCATTTCTCTTCCCCGGTCCATATTTTCCTTGCAACCAGGAGGGATTAATTGCTCGAAATGCAAGGGGGGCCCGGTAAGGGGGTGACTGTAGGTTCCTATCGTCTGTGCGGGTGCAGTTCGCATTGCCGTTGGTGATGGGGACGTATGATGCAGGCCAAGGAAACGTCACTACTGGAGGAGGTATTTGATCAAAGCGAAGGGAGTGAGATTCGGGCGTTGTTTCAGGGGCCTAGCAAGCCTCACCGCGGGCATCAAGTCAAATCAATCGACTGATCCGGTGTCAAATCTCAGCTTGCTTTCCATTCCAAAGCCAATGCGCAAAGCTGGCAGGTTTGGGCAGAAAAGACACGCATTGCAATTATCAATTGATACGAAGTAGCACTGTTGGTTCTAGTGTAGAAAGTGGGGGAAAGAGCGGGAGTGGGCTCTCTCGATGGTCAACATTTGAACATATTGAGAGGATTCTAACATTTCATCACAAGGGTCAAATGTTTTCACAGTGGAAGCAAACCAGCTCGCAACTAACAACGACAGGATCAATATGTGGTTGAGATGTGAAAAGTAAATGGCAAGTGTCGGGCTTGGCTGTGCTTCATGTTCGATTGCTCCTCAGAGCAAACCCGATTGCTCACCATCGTGATCCCACTCGGACTGGAACCCCAAGGCATTTGATCAGTCACTTCTATCCGAGGCGAGGGAGGAAACAACATAGAAGCAAGCGGTGCAGATCAGTGAGGCCACATGTCCGCGCGACCAGGTTGACAGTGATTGCCATCGCAAGGGACTCCATCAGCCACCGCTCGCACTTTGAAGCTTCGAGGGACCTTGCAGATGGTACAATTGATCAATCGACTGCACGATCAAAGTAGCTAGAATCTTGAGAGCGCGGTGGTTTGTTAGTGGGGATTGCTGAAAACGTCAAATCACGGGTTTCCCCTCCCCTCGCCTGTCCCACAACTCCCATTTCAGCAAGGGGGCCACTATCTACCTACCTCAGGAGGTTAGTGCCGCCTTCGCAGAAGGCACGGAGCAAGATGATGGGACCCCATGTTCTCTCCCTTTTCTTTTTTTCCTTTCCTTCCTCTTTTACTCCTCCGTTGGCCGGCGTTAACTAACGTGCTACATCTAGTTCCGGGACGGCCAGAAGGGGTGGGGATGAGCAACGCGCTGGTGCGCGCTAAGAAATGATCCCGATCACCAGGAAGAAGAGGACGGGCCGAAAATTCCTTCGCCTCCAATTTAGTGATAAATGACCAGAATTTAGGGCAATTTTACAAGTCACCTTTGAAGACGGGGGAGGGAGGTGGGCTGGAAACAGAGGAATAAGTGATGAAAAGAAACCAAAAAGGAAAAGGACAAGAAAAAAAGGAACGAGATTGACAGGGACTTTCTGCTGTGAGAAACATTTCCCGCCTCTGCCAGGTTTCCACCAAGCTAGCTCGGTAACAGCACCCTTTCACAGCGTTCGTCACTACGTTGCTCTAATTCCGACTTGCTTCTTTTACCGTCTGCTTTCCTTTTTCCTTCTTGTTTTGGTTAGTCGGCATAGTATCGACTTACTTGCATCCACTCTTTCTTTGAACAAGACATTTTTCTCATTTCTCGTTGGCCCGTGTTCCATACCTCGGAAGAGATGGCGTCAGCGCAGACAAATTTAAGAGGAGGTGGCACAATTGACCGCATCCGTTGAACTATTCCATTCCTCTCCGCCACCAGTTCGTCCAGGAGAGGCAAGATAAATTCTCACACTGAAAGAATACCTACTGTTGCTGTGAAATGGTCTTCATTTGGTGCTTAATTGCTTTTTAACCTCAGCATTGTTACTTCCCTCATTCGCATGGCAGCTGGCGTACTTGCCTCAGAGATGAAGGATTTTCCAGGGCGTTCTACGAATTTGGATTCTGCCTTCTCCATCGGGGAACTTGAAACTGCGCAACCTGCCGTTCTTGGAAAGGGGTGGCTACAGTCAATTTTAGTGGACGAACGCGTTCGCAGGCGCGGTGCATGTACCTGAGGCTGGCGAATGTGGGCTTGGCCCAAGAAGGGCAAGAAGGGTGATTGTGGGCTAATGCAGGTCGCTGCAGGCAGGCAGGCTTTGACGAGTTCCGGGAACCAGATCATTGGGACGCACGCCCATTCAGGAAGGGACTCGTCGTAATATTTCCCGGGACTCTCCCGCGGTGGACCGGGCCCGCGTGGAGGACGAACCAGAGCGACGTTTTGGAGGAGCAGAGGCGCCCTCCCAACGAACAGAACATGGATCCATGTACTTGGTCATCACTTCTCACCAGGAGAAAAATGGGAATGCGAAAACCCACAAAAAAAAGTGAAGACTTTGCCTTGTTTTGCATTCCGAATTCCTAATCCACATATCACATTTAGGCATTCCTCGCCTCCCATTGCTAATGAATAATTTGAAAACGCCACCATGAGTGTCCTGGTACAGTGCCAGTGCATCCAGTAGTGGGATCCATCAATCTAATAATCACATAGGGCGCAGCTCATCCTCGCAGTGCACTTCAACCCACAAGCACGAGGGCGTACATCTTTGTTTTCGTAAGTTTTACGGCTTACAGAGAAATGGCAGGCTGTATATGAAAAATGCGGAGAGGGCATCAGCTTCCTCTCTGGCTTGAAGGGGTTATTCTCCTAGATAGATATTGTTTTCGCTGAGCCTGCGTTTAGATCAAGGAGGACCATGTGCCTAACGGGTACAGGGCTATTGCTAAATATTATACATCATGGTGTCAAGTCTGACTTTGATGTTGTCGTATACAATTTGATAATGTCGATAGCAAGCCCCGCACACGCGCTGCAGGGAGGCAGCGGTCGGGTGGCCATATCTCCTCTTATACCTATAAGGTAGAACTCGTCATTGTGGATCGGATGGACGATACGGTGTGCAGCAACGTCATCGCAAGCTAGAGGCCGCGAGTGGAGGCAAAGTTTCGGGAACTAAATTATTTAGTCAGGCACCGCCAGAACGACACTCTGACGGATTTGCGCCAGGCCACCACGAACCACTCGAGGTCGGTTGATGATGGCGCCTGTATTTTTTTTATCTACTTGTAGTCTTGCTGCTCGACTGAAGCAAAAGTCTCCACATCTCACGACATTCTCATTGATCAACGATGTTTCAAGCATCACTTGCGCTTGTGTTCGGCTGTTGTCTGGAAAGCCGATCTCGCCGTCAAAGTACCCCGACACTCGAGCCTCTGTTGTGAAGTTGGGGAATCGTACCCTTTGACGGGATATATGGTGGGCCTCAATGCATCTATGTGTCAGAGGGGACAGATTCGAGTCACGACTGACTTAAACTCGTGTGGGCACACCCTCCTTGCCCGGCAACCACGGATGAGTCCCGGTCTCAGAGCGCGTACCGAGTAGGCCCCGCTCTCTATATGTGTGAGAGAGCGTGAGGGAGAGAGAGACGGGGAGGAAAGTGACGTGATAGGAAAGCAATTTGGAAACCAAGCTTAAGAGTACTGCAGGACGAGAAAAAGTAATGCGGAGGCAAAAGGAAGAAGGAAAAACATGCAGCTCAAGATGTGTAATGATGAGACACATTGCGATCGTGCCACGATCTCGATGATGACCGTCAATGAGGCTTTCCACGTCACCGAGGGGCGGCACTGCTGCGAGTGGAAAGTGTTCCCGTTGCCTTGCACCCGAAGCCGTTGGTGGCTTTCTCGGGTTGCGGAACAGGGGCATGAACAACTCCCGACCCGAATAGAGAAACAAGGCTCACCCCGTTATTCTCGGGTCATCACGGTCAACCTGACCTTGTCAGCCCCTCTCTGTACAACCAGCCGAGGAAGGGAAGGCGCCTCCCCGCTTTCTGCCAGGAGAAAACCGGCCAACATCCGCGGGAAGGAACTAGGGAAGGAGGGCAGGCACGCCCCTCGACCGAGACACCAGACGATCCCAAAAGGGCAGATGGGAACGAAAGACAAGATGCCAGGGTCGGTGGAGAGGAAGACCCAACAAGCCCGAGACAGGCTTGGTCGGGTCGAGGGCGTGCGTGAAAAATATCGGACGACCGCGACGGCAATTCAACACAGTCATGGTATACGCTGCCCCGCTCTTGCAAGTCACCTTGAAAAAAAGTAAGAGGGCGGCTCTTTTTCTCCCTTTTTCCTTTCTTTTTCTTCTCTTTGGAGGATGGGCCTCGTTCCCCGGAGAAAAGCTTTGAAAAGCCGGCGAGGGTGTGAGAGTAGCAAGCAAGTGGGATGAAGAGACAGAGAGGGCGTGAGAGAGGTCTTGCAAGGTGGGTCTTGTCAGCACACCGAGCCTGCCGGCACCGACATGAATCGAGCAGCCTGATGCCCGAAATCTCGATCGTATCAAGATTCCGAAGAAGGCAACATGAATAGTAAGATCGAGGTAAGCGATGCTGACCCACAGGGCTTGTTTGACACCTGCAGAAAACGCCCTTTTGTTGCAGCGGAGAGAATAATCACCACAAAGCATCAGGGTCCACTGACCTTGCCCCTCCCCCTCCCCCAAAAACAACGAGATAGCTTGCATCAGCTTTATTAAGCACGAGAGTATTTTGGTGGCCAAACCCAATACACAGATATCGACAGATATTGATAGACAAGTTGATAGACAAGTTGTTTTGTCAAGAGAGGGATGGCAAAAGCGCCGCGCGGGTTGCCGATACCCCAAGCATGAACAGGATCCGAGGGCGTGGGCGTGGGCGTGGCTAGGGAAAACGCCTATCAAGAGTAGTTGAGGCATTATTTCTATCAAGAACTTGATGAGAAGGACCCTGGGCTGAAGCTGCCATAAGCTCATGCCCTCCTTTATCTCCCCACTGCAATGTCATCCTTTCCTACCCCCACGCCATGGTCTCCCATCTCGGTGACCAGCTGATGCATTCGGTGACAGCAGGGTGAGATCACATCAGCTTCCTTGAACCCATACCTTACCCAGGTTCAGAGAAATCGCGTCGAGGAATGTACGCAGCTTATCATCGCATTTTGGCGCAGCCACCATCGAATATCTTCATTCGGCCCACATTCCAGCCGTTTCTTTTTTTCTCCCTTCAGCTCATAACATATTACCCATTGGGGTGGGCTTGTTGCCAAGCCCTCTCTTTACCTCTCTCTAGGGTGTCAAGAAAAAGCGCATCTCGTTCGTTTTCAAGACACCCCCTCGACGGCCTTTTATTTCGGTCGGGATGTGTATATCGATACCTCACACCGAGAAATCCTCAAGTACCTGAGGTGCCTTCTTGCGCACGGAGTACAAAGCCAGCGGGGTGCGTTGCGATTGGGAAGAAGGCGGGAGCTGGTGGCGCCATGGACTTCAATTGATGATTCACTTTTCCTGGTTTATTTCCTTTTCTCTCTTTACTAATTCTAAGAAAAAGAAAACATCCCAGCCCTCTTAGCCTGGCTCTCTATCCAAGACCATGGACACTGAATGCTTGGCGCGGAACCAACCCTACGTTTTCTCAGCTCAACCACCTTTGCTCATTATTAGTGTCTTGAGCATCATTACTCCAAGCTGCTTTTCCTGGCATCAACTTATTCTTGCGAGGCTAGTTCCGGGTCCTTGGGTATTCACGGCTTTCGGCGCCGAATCTCCATCTAAGAGCGAGTGAGGAAAAGGGAAAAAGGAAAAAGAAACTGAAACTGAAGGAAACATTGCTTTATGGATCAGCGAGCTAGGCCTGTCTCTTCATCTACCGGGCCTAGACCGTTCTCCCGGGCCGTGGGGAGCTAGCTACCGGTCAATCGAAACCTTGGATAGCGGGCGGGCCAGTCATGAGGTGCAAGCCTCCTCATCCCAAGCTCCCTCCCACTCACTAGCCGGTACCAATCTTTATGATTTGACGACAGGTGCACTAATGCAATCTAACGGCTCGTATGCTTACGAACGGCGTGGTAAAGAGAATGGACTTTGGAAGGCAGCGCAAGGAAAGGGTAACGGGGAGCCGATAAAGGAGGGGGCTCTGTACCTCGGTACGATAACTCGATACGGATCCCCGCGGCTACGCGTATGTAACGTACCGCAGGTTCATATGATCTCGGGATATATGTCTCTGTTCGACTCATGTTAGCCCTATCAATGGATTGGGGAAAGCGACAAGAGTTCAGCTGTAAGAGGGCGTGACCTAGCAAGTCAAGAGAGCCATAGAGGGCCAACGAAGCGAGGCAAGTCATGAAAAGACGAAAGGGGAAGGGCCATGGATCTATCTCGGTATTGACTCACAGTCTTCGCGCCAGGGGCATCTCTGCCCTAACCTTCTCGACGATGCTGAGGTCAATGTCGACAAGGCCAAGCACCGTTCCATCTGTCCCATCCTCGGGGTCTCCTTCCGGCCCTACGCCCCCGAGCCGCAACGCCACGGTTCCCCAGGGATCTATAACTAGACTGTTTCCATAGCTGACTCTCTTCGCATTGTGCCGACCCACTTGAGCCGCGGCAATGACCCAGCTCTGCGTTTCTACCGCTCTCGCTCGCAGTAAAACCTCCCAGTGCGCCTTACCCGTCGGAACGGTAAATGCCGATGGGTAGGTGAGGATCTGCGCGGCAGGCCGGGCCTCGCCATGGGTCGAGGCCGGGGCGCCTAGTTTAGTGTGCGTGAGAGCTAGGGCTGGCTCGGGAAAGCGTAGATCGAAGCATATAAGGCTTCCCACTCGTCCCACGGGTGTCTGGAACGGCGCAGTGAGGCGGCCGCCGGGTTTAACGGTGGCACTCTCCCGGAGAGCCCCGTAATCAAAGAGGTGGAGCTTGTCGTAACCGGCAGCGTCATCGATCGCTCCGTCGGAGCGGATCCACAGTGATCGGTTGTAGAGCCGGATTGGCGCTGACTTGACAGAAATCTCGGGCGCGGAGGCCGGGGCATGGGCGGGGGCGAGGGCGGGAGAAGGTGTATCGGCTTCGGCCACAGGTACGTGAATTCCGACGTTGATCTCGATACCATGTTCCCGGGCGGCCAACTGAAGTCCGGCCACGAACGGGGACTCGGAGAGCGGTTTCGCCAGGGCGAGGGACTCTTGCGGCGATGATGCGATGTAGTCCGCAGCTTCGGGGAGGAATATCACCTACAAGAGCAGAAGAAAAACGGGCTAGCTGTGTGAATGATTGCTCTCCTTGGGTCATTTGTCCCGAGGTGAGATGACAAGGTGCGGCGGCCACCCACCTTTGCGCCCCCACTGGCCGCCTGCCGGACGAGCTTCTTGCATTTTTCAAGGTTGCTCGCCACGTCCGCCGTCGAAGTAAGCTGTCCTACTGCCTAACAAGGCGGGATATCAAGTCAGTTCGAAGGGCCTAGACACAGGAGTGAACCCCCGGGGGTAAGTATCCCGATGCCGGGGAGGAGAGAGCTGGGGCTGAGAGCTTGCGGATGGAGGATATCCTACCGCGATTGTCATATTGCTGCTCCACCGGACCCGCGCGGGTGTGGCCCTGACAAACTGGAGGGGGCTCGGAACTGAAAGCTGGTAACTCTACGGGCTGGGATACTAGTCATTGGGGTCCTGGAAATGGACAAACAACTGATGACTTGAAGTCGAAGATCGCACAGAAAAATGCATTCACGTGAGAGAATAGTGAGAAGGGGAAAAAAAAAAAAAAGAACAAGAAAAGTCTAGCCGCGCAACCACGGAAGATGGCTCTTGAGGCGTTGAGGAGGGGAATGATGCGAGACGAGGGACGCGGAAGCGGAGCCGGGTTTGGGAGAGGAGCGAGAGATTTGTCATTTGTTCAATCACATCACGTCTTGTTCTTCTTCCTCGCATTTCCTCCTTTTGGCGACTGATGCGTGGTTTCGTATCCACAAGTTACGCGTACTATTGGTGGCTCCAAAAAAATTAGCCTTGCAAGGCCTCTCTTGTCTGTTGTCTGTTTGCTATTACATGTGGGCAACGACTACGGACAGAGGATAGGAAGCAAGGAACAAAATTGGGTTCTGAGCAACATTTTGTAGCGAAATGGTTTGGCTTGGGGCCAGTCTCCCTTTATTCTTGCTATTGACTGAGAACGCACTCCAAAACTCCGCTTCCGAGTGCCCCTTTTCACTAAGTACGGCTAGCACAAAAAAAAGTTACAAAAAGAAAGGAAAAAAAGGAGGAATTAAAATCGGAGAGTGTGGCATGGTTTGAAGAGGAAAAGAACATGGACGAAGAAGAAGACGAGGGGAAGAATGCCGAGGAACCCCCAAGAGAGCAAGGCAGAGAAGAAGAAGAGCAAGGAACACTAGCCATCCATCCCTACCGCCCGAATCAGGATTTGTTAACGTACAAGACTCCAATATAGAAGCTGGTCTAAAGCGCGAGCTGCCAAAAAACAAGGGACCAAGGAGAAGGTAGAGGTGGGGAGGAGAAAAGGGTTTCAATGACAGGGGAGGAAGAGCAAAGGGATGCGCTTTGTCAATGAGATATCGCGAGGGGTCTAGGCCGACGGATATTGGGACTGGTCGCTGGAAGACACTGCGATATTCCCCATCGGCGGCAATGTAGCCGGGGAAGCGCATATAGAACGAGGCGGATAGTTTTTGAAGAGATGGCGGGCTGACTTTTATCTTGCAACAGAAAAGAACACCTCCCAGATGGCGTCTCACTCCCGCATTGCCCCAGTTCCGTCTCGTCATATCGCTAGAGGGAGTGGAGGGTTCGTTCAATGACGTGGGCTGAAGTGGGAAAAAGGTAAAAGGATTCCTCTATTTCGCATCTAATAGCCGTTGACACCTCGGAAGCGCTTGTTTTTTTAAAAAAGAAAAGGAAAAAAGGTGGTAGCCGAGAAGGCTTCTACCTGTCTTTTGCTTCCTTCTCAGACACACATATGCACCGTGCATGTGTGCTCTCCTTTGTAGATTACTTGGGTCCGGAGGAATCGAGGCTATTGTAGGCCCCTTGTAGCGCAGAGTGCTCGAGTCCGTCCGCCTCGAGCGCCGCGATCCAATCCCTCAATTGTACGCCCCTGCCCTTTTCCCTGTCTTCCCGCCAATTTCCAAGTCTGTTCCGACTGTCTGTCGTCAAGGGCATGCTCTCGGGCGCCGGCGCCGGCGCCGCAGCCGCATTGCCCCCAGGACCTGGCGTGCCAGAGCGCGCTGGTGTCGAAGCCCCGCTCCGGCCTCCGCCCGTCATCCAGTTGTACTTCTTCTTTCCGAAGACACTACCCATCTTTCCGACGAACATGCTACTGGTCAGGTTTTGAGAGGCGTGATTGCTCGCCTCCGCCGCTTTGGCCGCCGCGTTCTTGCGTTGCTCTTTCTTTGTTAAGCCTTCCTTCTTGGGTGTCGCGGCATCGCCCGCTGGCGTGGAGCCAGGAGTACCCGGACCAACCGAGCCGGCGCGCGATGGCGCGGCGGATTCCGTCGTCCCATCTTTGCGGGCGTTACGTTTTCGGAGTCGAAGTTCCTCCCAGTCGCGCTCCGTCCTTGCAACATCCCTTACTGTCGATATCGTTTCGTTCTTATCAATTCGTTGTAGTTTGGTAGGGGCCCCGTTTGGTTCAAGCTCGGCAGCTGCTTGGGTTCCTAAATGAATGAGTATGTCAGCGATTGGGCCACGGCACAAGCGGCAATAGAGATACGTTGAGGGAGCGTACTCTTTAGCGAATTGGACTCTGGGTCCACCGCTGCATCGATCTCCGTTGCGGGTGCCTCTTCCACCGCGCCCATGCCTTTGAGGGGCGCGGCTACATCCGACCACTCCTCGGGGATATGTCCATGAGAGGTCGCCTGGCGATTTACGGATACTCGGCTGGCCTCTTCTAAAGAGTGCGCATCCTTTGTTTGCAGGCGATGGACAGGAGTGCCAGTTGGTCGACGAGGTACGCGTCATGCGGGATAAAGGACCCCGTTGTGTGCACGACCGCCGCGTCGGGGAGCGTCTTTGTAGTCACCTCAACGCGGGGTTGAGGAAGTCATCCGCCACGCGCATTCTTCCTTGTGTTTGTTGGGGGTTCTTCATATCGAGGTGCAGCTGTAAACCCTGCTCTTTGGAGAACTTGTCGAGTTTTTGTGAAGCGCCGCAACGGACAGGTACGGTTCGTTGAGCTCTTGAACCCGAATCTGAGCAAGCTTTCTCGAGGCGGCATCCCACGCCTTCTTTGCACTTTGTGTTACAAGATCTTCCTGAGACTGCGCATCTGTCTGCTCCGAGGGCTGGTTCATTGGTCCTGCCCCGTAAAAGCTCTCCTTGCCTCCTGGCGGGTGCTGCGATATACCATACGATGCCTCGTCGTTGTTGAAAAGCATTTCTGTTGCGTAATTCTCTTCGGCGCGCAGGTCTATACCAGTTCCAGCCAACATATCAGTTGGTTCGTAATCGAACTCCTTTCCTTGTCGCTCGAGGGGCCGGGCTGGGGGAGGCATGCTATTGGAAATGGCCGCTGGCGAAGGAGCACTCGGGCTCGGCGCAGGCGCAATCGGTGCCATTGTTGCCGCGGTGTACTGGACTGGCCCCGGGCTGGACACCGCGGACCCCTGCGGCGTTGGTAACGCGGGGACTTGCGGTTGAATATGTGGTAGGTTGAGGCCTGGGGAGTGGCCGTTCGTTGTGGTAGTCGCTGCAGGGGTGGGCATCGCGATTGTTGGCGTAGGGATCAGGTTTTGGGGTGTTCCTGGACCAGGAGAAGGCGCACTAGGGGTGCTGATGGGAAGTTGGATACCGGTGAACTGCGGCGACGCGGCAGCGCTCGTCGGGGTTTGGCCAGGCGTCGAAGCGCCCGTTGCACCCGGACTATGCGCGTAGGATGAATTGTAGGGAGACTGGGGTTGCGACGCGGGCGCTGGCGATAGCCTGGGGCGCTTGTTTGGGGGAGAGAGAAAGCTGGTTGGGACTGGGCGGGGATAAGGACTGCTGAGGCCCGGGTGGAGGCGAGAACGCGGGTGCAGACGCCGGAGTCGGCACTGGCGGTTGTGATTGGGGCTGCGCCATCTTTGCGAGATGATTCGAGCGCGTTTCTCGATTCCACTCACTTGGGGATGAATCGCGAACGTCGGGTTTTAGGAACGGCGATGGGCGGGGATGGGTTTCGAAATGTCAAGAGGTGTACGCCAGGCAGCGAAGCCTGGGAAAGGGCGCGGCGACGCCACCCATTCGGCGGTGCTGTGTCGTCGAATTGGTCGTTGTCGAGGTGGTCGATGGGAGACGGAATTTAGACTAGCAGAATTCGATGTTTCCTGCCAGTTCTAGGTGTGGCAGCAGCTGATGGTATCGTGGTTGATGTAATCTCTCAACAGGTCGCGTCCTGTCTGATGAGGATGAGGAGCAAGAAGGGAGCTCGGCCGTGACTGTTGCGTCGACAATTTATTGTCACGTGACATGGTCTTTTTGCGCCTCCTGCTCCAGCACTGGCTCTGGGAGCTGCTGGACCTCAAGGCTTCGGAGAGCAACCCAAACCTTAGTTCACGATTCCCCGAAGTATTCCCGAAAAGCTTGGAAGGAGCCTTGTCTTAATTGGGGAAACTTCAGTCGCGTTCATATTCCTATTTGTTCCTGTCCGCCCTTGCTTGTCACCAACCATCTTCAAGCGAGAGGTGATCTTATTGCGTCTTCTCGTGGATTCCTTTTCCTCCGGTTGTTTGCGCAAGCATGTGAGCTAGGGCACTTTCTTAGCCATTGATTGATTGTCCCTCTTCTAGTCCGCCAAAACTGTTTCAGTCTAGGGCAAGTGCTCTCGCTTGGTTCCCGCCAGCCCATCATGGCTTCCAAGAGGAAAGCGGCCGCTATGGTGGCGACCGAGCTCGAAGAACCCGTTGACCCAGCTGATCAGCTCAAATTCTTATGCCTTGGAGGTGGCAATGAAGTCGGACGGTCATGTCACATTATCCAATACAAGGGAAAGACCGTGATGGTATGTAATCTATCAACAACCTTCCAATCTTGAGGAGCAGAATGGCGCCAGTTCGTCCTACGCTCTCTACAATAATCTTTTGGATGCCATCCGCGACGCGCGAAGCGCAGGCTAATTCCTTTTTGTCTTTCTCTTTAGCTCGATGCTGGCCAACATCCTGCATATGAAGGTCTTGCGGGTCTCCCCTTCTTCGATGACTTCGACCTCAGCACGGTCGATGTTCTACTTATTAGCCAGTAAGCGAACCTCCCGTCTACACATCCTATTGCATCGTAATCGTGAAGTCAAGGGCAAGGCAGCTAGGAGGAGGCATGACGGGCTCTGGCGGCAACGTTGAAACAAAAAAATATGGATCGGGATCCTGTGAGAGGTTGCGCTCGGGACTATGGACTCTGCACCACCAGCCCGCGAGGTACGGGAAGAGATCCGTCTGCTCTGCCCTGCTGCAACACTGCGCCGGACCCTCGACAGCCTACCATCGCCTTCCAGCCCCTTTGTAGACAGAGAATATGAATATACTATTTTCCAACCGCACCAAGCTGCCTTGCCTCTGCCCGCTTGTCCCTGTTTTCTGTTCTTGTGACAGCCTGAGATGATGTCGTTCTGCGCTCTCCCGACCACCCAAAGGCTAACTCAATATCCCTAGTTTCCACGTTGACCATGCTGCCTCGCTTCCTTATGTCCTGGCAAAGACAAACTTCCGTGGCCGCGTCTTCATGACGCACGCGACAAAAGCCATCTACAAATGGCTGATTCAGGACAGTGTTCGGGTGGGCAATTCGTCCTCAAACCCAACTTCCCAGCCCGTCTACTCGGAGCAGGACCACCTGAGCACATTCCCAATGATTGAGGCTATCGATTATCACACTACGCATACGGTTTCATCAATCAGAATAACTCCTTTCCCTGCTGGCCACGTCTTGGGAGCAGCCATGTTCCTTATCGAAATTGCTGGACTGAATATCTTCTTCACCGGAGACTACTCCCGCGAGCAGGACAGGCATCTGGTCTCCGCCGAGGTTCCTAGGGGCATCAAGATTGATGTACTCATCACCGAGTCGACGTACGGCATTTCTTCTCACACCCCCAGAGAAGAGCGTGAACAGCAACTGATGAAATCCATCACCAACATTCTAAACCGTGGCGGCCGTGTACTGATGCCCGTCTTTGCTCTCGGGAGAGCCCAAGAGCTGCTCCTCATTCTTGATGAGTACTGGGGAAAGCACCAGGAGTACCAAAAGATACCCATTTACTATGCAAGTAATCTAGCTCGTCGCTGTATGCAGGTCTATCAAACGTATATTGGTTCCATGAACGACAACATCAAACGGCTTTTCAGCGAGCGAATGACTGAAGCCGCCGAGTCTGGCGACACGGCTGGAAAGGGTGGGCCCTGGGACTTCAAGTATATCCGCTCGCTCAAGAACCTCGACCGCTTCGACGATTTCGGCGGCTGCGTTATGCTTGCCAGTCCTGGTATGCTTCAGAACGGTGTGAGCCGAGAGCTGCTCGAGAGGTGGGCGCCAAACGAGAAGAACGGCGTAGTCATCACCGGTTATAGCGTGGAGGGGACCATGGCCAAACTGATTATGCAGGAGCCTGATCAGATCCCTGTCGTCATGTCCAAGGGCGCGGCGGCGGGGAGGAGAGGCGTCGATGGCGATAAGCTCATGATTCCGAGACGCTGCAGCGTGGAAGAATACTCGTTTTCGGCCCACGTGGACGGCAACGAGAATCGTGAATTCATCGAGGAGATTGCTGCCCCCGTTGTTGTAAGTTGACCACACCACGCGCTATCTCTTTGTGTGAGAGAGCGCGCCTTTTTCGGGCGATGCATAACTAACTGGCGCTTTCCAATTTGACAGATTCTCGTCCACGGAGAGCAGCACAATATGATGCGTCTCAAGTCAAAGCTTCTTTCCCTCAATGCTCAGAAGACGGAAAAGGTCAAGGTCTACTCGCCTCGCAACTGCGAAGAGCTCCTAATCCCTTTCAAATCGGACAAGATGGCCAAGGTCGTGGGTAAGTTGGCCTCGATCCAGCCCCCAACCCATGCCATAGGGCCCGAGGACCCCGAATCGCGCCTCGTCACCGGTGTCCTCGTGCAGAACGATTTCAAGCTATCTCTCATGGCCCCCGAGGACTTGCGCGAGTATGCGGGTCTCAACACGACCACGGTCACTTGCAAGCAAAAGTTTACGCTAGGCTATGCCGGTGTGGACTTGATCCGGTGGGCTCTCGAGGGTACCTATGGCAACATTGAAGAATTGCCCGAGATGCACAAGACGCACGCTACGGACGAGGAGAGAGACGGGCAAGAGAATGGCGAGGGAGGTGAACACAGCGAGAACGGCGAGGATAAGACTGCCATGGAAGAGGAGGCCGACGAGGAAGTTCCCCACCTCGTTGCCGCGTACCTCGTCATGGGCTGCATTATCGTGCGATATAGGAGCAACCGCGAGGTGGAAATGGAGTGGGAAGGTAACCTCCACAATGACAGCATCGCCGACTCCGTCATGGCCGTCCTGATGATGGTCGAGACTAGCCCTGCTGCGGTAAAACGTAAGACCTCACCCCCTTCTACCCATGCCACGCAACAAGGAAAAAAACGCTAACCCCCATTGCCCACCCCCGTCTAGGCTCCGGATCCCACTCCCCCATCACCACCACCACCATACCCTCCCCGCCCGCAACCCCCACGCCAACATCAGCCCCGAAGACCGCCTCAGCCGCCTCTTCCTCTTCCTCGAAGCGCAATTCGGCGCGGACAACATCTCCCCATCCCCGAGCCCAAGCTCGCCCCGCTCTCCCCTACCGCCGCTGCCGCTGCCGCTGCCGCTGCCGCTACCACCAAGCCCGAGGGAGAGGACGCCATGGCCGTCGACGAGCCCGCCGAATCCCTCGACGCCCGCCGCGCCGCCGAGCTCGACCGTCTCCACAAAAACGGCATCCCCGTCCCCGGCGTGGAGATTCGCCTCGACAAGCTCACGGCCAAGGTCTGGCTCGAGGACTTGGAGGTCGAGTGCTCTAGCCGCGTCTTTGCCGATCGCGTGAGGGCTGTCGTGGAGAGGGCCTGCGAGACGATTGCCCCGCTCTGGGGTTGATCCAACGTTTTTACGTCCGGATCGAGGAGTTTTGGTGGCGGAGATGCAACTCTTTTTGTTTTCGTCTTCTTCTCAAATATACAGCAAGGCAGGGAAAAAAGGGGGAAAAGGAAACTAGGGGGTGGTTTTTCTTTTTCTTTCAACTGCTCCATGAACATTTAAACGCCGATATTACTTCTACTACGTTTGTTTGTAGAGGGCTTCTACATCCCCTCCTTGCTTCAAATCCAAGGATCAACCTCCAATGTAGATCAATTAGGTCTTGGGATGACTCTATTAAAAGATACTCAATAAAATCAAAGGAGGGACAGGTCATGATATGGGACAAGTACACAACAACCTCTTGACGGCAGGAATTGGCCACTTGTAGAGGCTTCGCAAGCGTACGTGAGACGTCAGGCCTCTGAACACTTGCATGCATTTGGAGCCGGTATCAGGGGCTGGCCCAAAGTCGAAGTGGATGTTGGTAGGTGAATAAAAAAAGAAGAGGCCGCATCGTAGGTAGAACCAAGCTTGATTCTCACTTTAAATAAAGCCATAAGTATATCACGAAGCAAGAGAGAGCGAAACGTAAGACGAGCATTGCAAAGTGACGATGCATGTTTTTAATACACACAACGCACGATAGCTCCGTCAACCTCTTTACAAACAATCTAGATTTAAAAGGAGATAGGAGTAATGAACGAATAACAATAATTAGTACATTGTGACCTGATGGGCCATTGCCTATCCAATAAACTCTTTCAGGTCCTCCGACTCTTCTAATAGAGTCTTGAATGAGAAGGGCACAAAGGCCCAACCCGCGAACTCGGCGAACTTGGAAAAGGATTCTACCCATGCCAACCTCAGGGAGTGAAGCTATCGAAAGCACGTTAGCATCAAATTCAGCATCGGTACGGCAGGGAACAACTAAATAACTTACCATTGCACTCGTTCCCTCCATCAACACAAGAATAGCGATGGCTGAAATTTCCTGTTAGCTCCAAATCGTTGTTTGGTCGAGTTTCAGAACGTGTAGACTTACTCAAGTTAAGCCACATGGTGAAGCTGATGACGATGGCGATGATTCCCATGACGCCAGTCATCTTGAGGCAGGGGCCGATTGTCATGTTCCAGAGCACGGAGCTGAGCTGCTGGTGAGCCAGCGACAAAGCCCAAAGACGGAGGTAAGAGGCGGTATGGGATACACAGTTGAGACAGAACTCTGCGCGCAACCAACCTTATTAGTAAACCGTCCGAGAAACGGATAAAGGCCAGGAGCGGAAGAAACTTACCAATCGTATGAATCACCTGGTGGATGATGACCTCACTAAGTTCAAACTCCTCGTGTTCCTCGTCATCGGAGATATTCTCCGTGATCATAGGCGTGCCGTCTTCGAAGCTGTCGCGACCGTTGCCGTTGAGAAGGCGGGCACCGTCCTCATCTTCATCGTCATCCGCGGCAACAATGTGCGAGGTTTCGCCGATTGCGCGATAACCCTTGGCACGCGCCTTCTTGTGGTCCTTCCACAGCATGTAAGGCTTCAGACCGAGCATGATGGGAACTTGGACAAGTGCGACGAGAAGAAGGAACTTTTGCACAATGGCCTGGCCAGGGTAGAGCTGGATATCAATGGTACCGGGCTGGAGGAACATGTAAATGAGCATGTTCAGAAGGCCAGGGGCTGTCGACCAGTGCCAAACCAATCGACGGTCCACTTGTAAATGATGCAGATGACAAGATATCCGAAGATGGACTGGAAAAAGATCATGCCAGGGATGAAGTTGCCTAGCAGATCTTCTCGCTTCTTGAAGTGCCTCGCGTTGATATACGAGAAGCACAGCGAGTAGGTCATGTGGACCCAGCCGAGGATGATACTCATCTTCATCTTGTAACTGTTGGTGAAGAGCAGATTGTTCTCCGTTCCGTGCCACATCCAATCAAGACCAATCGGGTAACGGTAGTCGCCCTTGAGTTCGCCAGTAACCATCTCGCCAACCCTAGAGGGGTGGTGGTCCCACTCCCAAGCGCTGGGCCAAAGGGTGAAGGACAGGGAAAAGATATCGTTGTAGATGAAACCGGTAAAGATGGAGAAGATGGCCATGACAAGGGCAATGTACCTTCCGTAGAAGAGCATGGCGAAGAGTTCAAAGGTTACCTTCTTCAGTGGCTTCTCCCAGTAGATCATGGCAAGTGAGCTCAGAAGCATGATGACGGCATGGCCAACGTCACCAAACATGACAGCGAAGAGGAAGGGGAAGGTGACGATGACAGGGATGACGGGGTTGACCTCTTGGTAGGTGGCCGTTCCGTAAGCATTGACAATGGTCTGGAACGCCTCCGTGAACTTGTTGGTGCGAATAAAGGTGGGAGGCGTCTTGTTGGTTCGGACCTCATTGATGATGGAGGGAATCGAGAGCCCAGCTCGGTTCGTCACATCTTGCAAAGTGGATCGGATACGAGGAAGGTCGGCAGTCGGGCACCAGCCCTCAGCAATGAGCGTCCTGCGAGCCCTGTCGTACGAGAAGAGGTTCAAGGTGCTATAAACAGCCTTCTCTTTGGCAATGATGACCATCCAAGCGGACAGCGACTGTGAGATTTGGTTGAGCTCGACCTGGAGGGTAGTCTGCGTGTTTTGCAGAACATTCTGCACGTCGGCGAGGCGGGCATTGACTTCATGGACCTGGTCTCGGCGAAGGTCCGCGTTCTCGTCGACGCTATACACTTCGGCACCCATCGACTCGGAGATTTTCCGGATCTTGGCGAGAATCTCCTTGCCGTGGGCAAAAATGACAAACACGTTCTTGTTGACGGTTTCGTTGGTGGAGGGGTCGACAAGGGGCTCGGGAATCTCGGCCTGGTTCATGTAGAGATTACCACGCAGGGTTCTCCACAGAATCCGCTCAAATGTGTCCACGCGGTCCCGGGGAATAACGCCAGCAACGAACCCAATGTTCATGCCCGAGAAGGAGCGCTCGGCGTCGGCGGCACGAGCGTGAGACTCGACGTCTTGTAGGAGGGGGCGTCGTCGTCATCGGTGGAAGCGCGGATCTCTTCAACACTGCCATGTGCACGATCGAAAAGCCGCCCGCTTCCCGAAGAACCCATCGCCACTCAGTGAGGTCGACTTCTCGCTTCTTCAAGGTTTCGTAGCTTTCGTTCAATTGCTGAATGCGCTGCTCAAGGGTCTGGCTTCGTTCAACGACTTCATCGATATCGGCAGGGTTCGGGGTGGCGAGGTCATCGTTGTCGAGGTCAAGCTTGCGGAGCGAAATGCCCACCTTTTCCATCTGCCCATGAAAGTATCCTATCAGGGGAACACCTGTGTGAGTAGCTGGGAGGAGAGGGGGTATTCCAACAACTGGTAATTGCAATTCAATGAGCGAGTATGAAAGAAACGACTTACGGAGTTGTCGTTCGACATTATCGAGTCGACGGATCTCGTTTGTGTAGGTTCGCTGAAAAGCACTCAACTCTCCATTAAGCTAGGCAGCCGAATTAAGCGTCAGTAAAACGAACCAAACCACCAAAAATAAGATGGGGGAAAAAAGCCGCCCCGACGAAAAAAACCCATCCCCCATCGCCCAAAAATTAATCTCCAAGGTGAAAATCGAAAAGAGGATGATGATGGGAGTTGAACTGGGGTTTTGGGAAGCTTCATACATCGCGAAAGTGAAGCAGGCCAAGCTGGCCAAGCGCAGTGACGACTTCGCGGCCAATCTCGTTGCTCATGTACAGCTGCACCATGCTCATCTCCGACGAGCGGAACATGGTATCCTGCACGGGAGCCATCTTGCTCTTGTATCGGGGTCTCTTGCCCGGGTCGGGCTAGTAGGTTCGTAGTCTTGCACCAAATCGGAAACTGGAGTTCCTGGGGCAGATGGTCGACGACGTCGGATCATGGGCGGCACATCGAAGCCAAACGTCTTGTATTCAAATGAGGGAGAGAGGTTGAGGTCCCCTGTGACCTTGGAGCCAGAAACCAAGGCGGGAGCTTACTCCTGCATGTCTTACATAAGCTGCATCACCCAGACAGTTGAAACCTTTGTGTATCACGTGATTTGATTTCGGCCGGCACGGCGCACTGGCTTCGAGGACCGTGTTGATCTTATCGCGGCGGAGACATCGGAAAAATCGGACCCGAGATCGGTTCTACGACGTCATTCGTAACAATAATACCAGCTCCAGCTTCCTCCCTCCTCTGCTTTCTGGAGGTTTGTCTTGTTCAAAGCTTGGAATGATGGGGTGGACTGTGTCCGAAATGCTAAGTACAAGGTATTCACACTGGAAAGGGTTTAGATCAATAGGTATGAATGGGATTGAGAAGGGTTTGGTTTTTCTAGGTTTTTTTGGTTTTGGTTTACTTTGGGGGTTTGAGAAGAGCAGAGTTAATTCAACCGAGAAGAATATTGAGTCGCACTGAATTCCTTGAAAACAAAACATACACAAGTAGGACAGCCCTTAGTTTCGCTTTCATTAAAAGAAACCCCGACTCCTTTTGCTTGCTCTCTTTTCCTTTCGTTTCATGACCAGTGATATCAATGCTTTCTTCCAAGACTCCGCGCATTCAAGCAGAAACGATCAAACGACTACCCATGATATCAAACTATGATAAGGACATAAAAGTATTGAAACAATCGCAGGTCATGATATGATGCCGAACAAACAAGGAGTCAACATACACGCGGGTAATAACAAGCAGTCGAAAAAGGGAATCATCTGAGTTTAGGAAATGAAAAGTGGAACGTGAAAGGCAGAGGCGTAGTCGCGGTAAAGGACGACAAAAGAAGAACGCCGAGTACCAGGCAAGTAGGAACATGGACTATACGTCCGAAAATGGATTGGCTGGGAAACCAGAGAGTTAGGGGTGGTGGGAGGATGGGAGGGTTGGAGGGTTGGAGTGGGAGATGAGCGCCTCGTAGGGCAAGGTCGGCAACGGGCGAAGGAGTTGGAGCCTCAAAGTTTGCGGGTGAACATGTGCCATCCGTACATGCCGCCAACTTCGGCAACGGCAACAGGAATCTTCCTAGATCCCCAGGATTCCGCGCCCATTTTCCAGGACCTATACGAATTCTCCATGGGGATCTGGTCATTGATCCTCACCATCCAGTATCGTTGGCCGCTCTCCTTCAACGCCCAACCAGCAACTTCGACAGCCCTGGGGCGCTCCTTGAGGCGCTTAAAGGTCGCTCGGCGATTTCGAGGACACACAGCGGAGCAGATGCAGGTTTCAAAAGCGTGTGGCGGGCATCGAAGAGAGGGTCAACATCTTTGCTCGCTACGAGGTCCGAGACATCGAGGTACCGAAGGGTATGGGAGCCGAAGCCATCATTCGGGCCCAAAGATCACTCACGTCAGCTGCCGTGAGGCACCGGCCGAGCGAAAGCTCTTCGAGTTTCCTCGTCAGAGGGAGAACGAGGGGAAGATGGATGGGCTTCATCTTGCTACCCTTGAGGTTCAAGGACTTGAGAGTAGGGGCAGCACAGTGAGAAGATCAAAGAGATCGTCCTCGCCGAGCATTTCATGGTTCGCAGCGTCATGAGCAAGGCTCAAGACTTCTAGAGAGTCTTTGACGGCGGGGTGGCCAGACAAAAGGTAATAATTTCGTCGGCCTTCAACCGCTTGCACTTAGCCAAGTTCAAGTGCGTGATGCGGGCGGATTTCGGGATGGAGAAGAGAGCCTTGGCAGTTACATGGCAACCTGCTATGTCAAGATGCGTGAGTCTTGTAAGACGTGGGAAAATCATCTCAAAAATGGCAGCGGGTAGGGTCGAGGTCTTGTGGAAAGAAACTCGAGAAAGCGTCACCTCCTGGGCCATTCCACGTTCAAGAGTGACTCAAAGGAACGCCGGAAATCGGCGTGCCAGCAGCCGCAAAAATCAAGGGCTCGGAGTCTTGGCAGGCTGCCGAAGAACAGCTTCTGCAGGACATCGGGGCTCAGGTTTTCTCCAATGTGCTCTTGAGCAAGGAATTCCTTGAGATTGGGGGTCAGCTCAAGGCACTCAAGAAGGGTGTTGGCAGTCAGATTGCCAGCATTAGACCTCTCACGCTCCGTAGAGAAGAGGGTTGAAGGGTTAAAATGACTAAAGTCAAGCCGCCTCACGAAGCCACCTAGCTCAGGATGGGTAGAGATCTGGGTCAGGAACTTTCGGTAGATCTTGGAATGCGGTATGGTGATGTGGGTGTACAGAGTCCCGAGGGTGGCTCCGTGTAGGGTCTTGGAGGTGAGAAGCAGCGCACGTAGATCAGCATTGCGCTTTGCGGTGCTATTCGTAGGGGTCTCGACGACGAGTAGAGAGATGATTGAAGCTAAAGGCCACATCACTATTAGTATACGGCGAGCCAAACTGGCGGTGAAGCCCTTTCTTCCTTTTCCTTTTCTTTTTTTTTCTTCGCCCCCAAACAAAACACGAGACAAGGGCCAAGACAGAAAACTGACAAGTTATGCGGTTGACAGCAGAAGATACAGAGACCGGAATGCTTGAATGCGCTGGCAAAGACGCAGGACTGGGCAGGAGATATCGGGCAAGAAAAGCAGGAGGCAATACGTACTAAGGATTTCGGCGGGAAGCCGTTCAAGGGCCGAATTGCCGGGTCGGAGTCCGGGTTCGCCTTCTTGAGTATTAGGAGTCTCTTCATGAGCGTCAAGTTTGGGGGATGGGGGCAGGGCCGTGAACCGATGGAGTGCGTGAAGATCACTAAAACTCTTGCTCGCATATCTGCCCTTCACCCTGATTTCCTTCCATCCAAGGCCATAGGAGGTACCAGCAGGATACCAGGCTCCATGGAGCTTGCTCGCGGGTTTCGTGATGGGAGGGATGAATTCGGCATTGGCCATGACCACGTCTCCAGTATCGTCGACGGCTTCTTCGTAGGCTTCAGCGTAGGAGGAAATTTTGGAAGAGGTGAAGGATTGGGCGAGGCCAGACTCATGTTCTCGAACAGACGAGAACGAGCCTCGCCCGACAGTGTCTGGCGAGGCCGAGCGCTGCATGACCTCGATGGTTGGCGAAGTTGGGTAACAGGCAGGGGTCATGGGACCGTGGTACGAATGCTTGGAAATTACTGGGGCGACAGGCCCTCGCAGTCGGGATGGCATCGTAAGATTTAGAAGGGGAGTGGAGGGGGAAAAAGAGGCGTCGGTGCGGCGGGGGTAGTCGTCGTTCTTATTGTGCTGCTCTTTTATCTCCCGGGGGCGGTGGAGCCTTCCCCGAAATTAAATTCCAAGAAAAATAAAAGATAAAAAAGGACGGCCGGAAGGGGAAAAAGAGAGGGGAAGAAATTATGGCAAAGAATTGACGATGAGAAGGGAAATAATAAGGAATAGTGTTTGTGTGTGTGTGCGTGTGTGCCCGAGTGAGTCGAGCCTTCTTTATTTAGTCCAGAAAAAAAGGCCTTGGGGAAAGGGCGAACAAGCGGCGACCGAGGACGGGCCGGGGGCTTGGGGTTGATGAGACTTTGGAAATAGGTCACAAGGGGTCTTTCTCCGGCGGCAAGGGGCCTGGCTCGCAGAAAAATATTGCGAGCCGGAGGAATCAGCGAGGTTTGTGTTAGTCAAAGCTTTAAGTTTTTAGGTAAGAGTATCCCGTATTGGGGGCGTGAGAAGGTCTAGTGGTGCGGGGAAGGGGACCAGTGTGTTGTTTGGCTCCGTGAGTGGAAATAGCGTTGAGTGTCGGGGTTCGAGGCCAGAAGGTGTGGACCTCAAGCTCAGGAGAGCCCGTGCTTGTGAATCAATCAATCTTCCTCGCTTTGTGAAGCAGACAAAAAGTTGGTGTTGAGCTCAAAATGGGAGGTCGCTGGACGCCCGGGTGTAACGTTTGAAAAGTTCGTAGTGTGGTATCCTAGTGCTCTTAGCGGTGTCTAGGGAATGCTGATTCGAGGCACCAAAGGGTGGATCTGGGATCTTGCGTTGCGCGTGGCGCTGGGCGCTGGGCGCTGGGCGTTGGTATGCAGTGTGAGTTAAGTTCAATGTTCAATGTTGAGTGAAGTCGAATAAAACGAGCGCTGAGCCGGCTTTGTCTGCAACACACCCGTTGTTTTGTTGGTGTGGAGGAGCAAGGAGACGAGACAGGACGGTGTATTAATGCATCCCATCAAATGTCAAACATGGACATGAATCGAGCGGCGAAGGAAGAATGTGCCAAGAAAATAAAATACAATGACGGGTGGTTGAATTGAAAGAGTCGATGTTGAATCTTGTAATACTCTGAACACTTCACCATGACCCGGCATGACCGCAAAGTGGCAAGAGTACACCAGTACACCCATCTGCTGATTAAAACAAGGGACACCCTCCAACCGGGCGAAGTATCGACCCAAGCTTCTAAACAACCCAAACTTCGATGGGTACAACGACCAATTGAGAACCCCTCCCCTGACGTTTCTTCCATGGGATCAATGGTGACTCGAGCTTGGACTCCTCCTCCTTAGGAACCACCGGAAGCACTGCCGGATCAAACGGGAGACAGGCTATTCAGGGCCATATAGAAGTCGCGTGACCCAAGGCCGCGATCTCCCCAGGCCACTCGTTTCTCGTCACTCCAATTTGAGCTCAGCTGGTTGGGGGCGAAGCCGGCGTGTGCGCTTCCGGAGTTGTAGTGCAGTGCAGCAGCAAGAGCATGATTCCTCCCATGGGTGGACGTATCAGCGTACATTAGAAAAAGAGATCAAAATGGGAGTGTGCGACTGGCCGCAGATGGGAGTGGTGTTAGCAGCCCGCCCGGGAGGCCATGAGCAGGAGGGTGTTGACCATTGAGACCTTCCCCGACATCCACCAAGCCAGTCGCAGGCCCTTTGCTTGCAGTCTCGTCGCCCTCGCCGTACTACTCTATCAGTATTGTCCCTGTTAACCGGCGCTGCGCTGTAAAACGAATTCGGTAGGTCACATAATGACTTTAAACCGAAGGAAGTGACAATATCGAAAAACAGAGAGCTCGTCAATGGCGAGGCTTCTTGCGAAATCCGGTCCGCGGGGCTGCACCCTCTTCATCTGCTACATATCTAGTACACCTAATAAATATTGCTACGAGCGACGTAGCAGGTTGCCCGAGGTCAGGCTCATGGCCAATACCAATCGATCGGGGCGGGAAGGAAATTTAAACGAGAACAAAAGACGAGCGACCGGTGTGTCTAGGCACTCTAACGTTCATATCATTGACTCGTTAGCGATTATGACGATGGGAAGCCACCACCATCGAGAGAAACAAAGGAGGAGATGACGAAACTCCCTCGGGCGCCGAGGTGCTTGATAGACGTCTCGCCATTCAGCCCGGCCCCAGTTGAAATATTCATTCACCATGGATTTTGCGCACTACTTGTAGCACTGGGCAAACGAGGTCAAAATTTCTCCTGCCAAGCTGCATCCATGAGCTGTTGCGTGGGATATGGGATGAAGCGAAGAAGCAAATTCTCCACAATCGGTGCATTTTCAGTCCGCGATTTCGAGAAGCATCCATCAGTTGATAAAGTCCGTTGGGCAGTTCCCGAAGCGGAGTGCGGTTAGCACCAAATTGGGAACCATGCTTCTGATCGGCCGACGCATCTTCATCCTTGGACATATTTCCCGGCCGGTCGGGGTTTTGAGTCAGAAAATCCTCGTCATGGAGGGTGAAAATACAGGGCACGGCGGGCTTTCGGATTTCGAGCCCATTTAAACCGATACAAGGCGAAGCAGACCATTGTAGATTCCCACTTTGATGTATACACCCGCGGTACAAAGTACTCGGGTGGACACCTCGTTACTTTCCCTCTTCTTCCATTGGAGACTTCCATCATCAGAGACTTCCATTGACAAAGAAAACCGGCGCCAAAGGTTGATACGGCATGGAAGAGACCCTTGGACCTGAGAGAAAAGTTTTCGTTTGACAAGCGGAGGAGGGAAAACTCTTCACTCCCCTCTTCCAGAATTATTTTTACCCTGTCAATGAAGGAGTGAAGGTTCGCTGTGATCGACTTGGGGGCATCTTCTTTTTAGGGTATCGAAACCTTTTGGTTCGCCGTGATATGTTACCTGTCAATGTCACCATCATCACGTCAGTTCGCTCCGCTTGTCGTCTGCCACACCAAAATTCGCCCAGAGTTTCGAGATGGGTGGCCTGGGCTCACTTGCCACGCTCCCTCGACCGCCAGCACTCCCCATTCCAGCCATTGAGGGCTGAGTCGAGCATTGTTAGGCTTCAATTCCAGCCAGCGCAGACCTACTTGTACTAGCATTGGTTTCCGGCGCCAATGCCGGAACCATCGGGCGTCCGCGCTAAGAAATCCATTGAAAGAGAGCGACTCATACTAATACTGGTGGTGAGTACGCGATAGGGAGTGCACTGGCCGACCAAAGACATTGAAGGCGCCCAGAGCATGTGCCTTGGATTTACGTCCCCATAGGCACACCGCAATAGTTGCTGGACAAGGGGGCGCTCTCCCGTCAGGTCAGCAGCTAGCGAACCACAGACGGAATGCCCGACACGAGCTACTCTCAACAAGGTATGGGGATGATGACTGAGAGACGGTGGGCTGTGAACCCCCAAGCTCCCAAACTGCCCTCTGCACATACGAGCCAGGAGAAGGTATGCGCAAGAATAGGATGTGGCTACCAGGAGTAACCCATACTTGCCATATAACCCTCGGCACCCTGAGTCCAAGGTTCGCTGGGGCCCATCCTTTCCCGCCTTAAGCTCTCATGTTGACACGCACAATAAATGATCGACAACTCTCTTGTGGTGGGTAGCGAGGCAAGCAGGGGTAGGGGAGCCCCTCGGTAGGGCTAGGAAGGGCAAGTACCTTGGGGCTATTCCAGATCGTGACGACATGGCGCTAGGGCCCCAAAGATTCTGATTCGTTCAGCAAGTACGTGGCTTCGGCCGCCCCTCCCCCGGCATCGGAAACCGCGTCGTGATGAGTCGCACTGATGGCCCTCAAGCCTCATTGACCTCGCCACCGTCACTGTCATGGTTATAATGCTTTTTCTGGGAGGGCCTTCAATTACTTCAACTGAGAGATACCGAGTGCTGGGCAAGGTGCCCTCTAAACCTGGCCTGCCTGGGTGCGATCAACGCCGTCACCGACTTTTGGACTTTTTGGTTGTTCACAACCCTGGCACAGCCTCCAATCTCATGCACCACATTTTGTTCGGACTGGAGTCAAAGAGGCCTCTCCTCGTCTCGTATTTTCCCTTTTTTCATCCATTGCTATCCCTCCCTTGCCTAAGCCATTTCGCCGTTTTTCGACACATCGATGGATCCACCGCTTTCGGAGGGACCCTTTATTCGCAGGAGATTCAGATTCATGATAACATGCGGGCCATCTGATAGGATCGTCGCATCAAGCAGGGGTGCAAGGTTTAACAGGCCGTTAGCGGCCGACTTCCTCAAGGGGGCGTTCATTACCTTAACGCAGACCCTGATGGATAATGAGTCGCCACCAACTAAAAAGAATATCTTCCGCGCTCAAATGCGTCATCCCGAAAGATAAGGGCGCGCGCGCCTGTAAGCGAGTCTTAGGCTACCCTTTTCCGATTGCGGGAAAAGTGAGCGTTGTGCTTTCTGCTACCCATTACATCCATGAAAAGACTGGTTCTTTACAATACCTTGAATACTCCTTTGTAGTCGCTACTACTTGTTGTAGAGGCGGCTCCACTCGAGCTTATCTCAAAGTCTAGAACGAGGTCTTGGACTGGCTCCGAAGTAATCTCGGGAGAGCACCGGAACTCCGACTTACGTAGCTAGGCGTGGCTAACCACTCAAATGTTTATTATAGGCTCCGTTCGAAGTCAAACCCTTTGCGAGAGAAAACACACGCTTATGGTCAAGACCTTGTGTATCTCGAGTCATCATTCGTCGTAGTCTTCGATGGGACAGAAAATGTTTAGAAGCCCTTTGACGACGCAACGCACTCAGTGGTCTCACCCTCTCCAACAGGCTTGTGGACAAGGAAGGGTGGACTTATGTAGATTCCATAGACGTTCCACGACATGCATGTCCAGTGATCCTTCACCTGCACGGAAGACTTCCCTTGACCTTCAGATCCCTGCTTAACGCCGACCCCGCAAACTGCCGAGAGCTTCGAGCATGGATGCTCCTCTCGATAAGCTGTGCACGTAGGGCCAACGAGAAGAAAAAAATCAAGGTGAGAAAGAAGACAAGAAGAGGTCATAGGTCATTTATCTGTGCGACAAGATGGATAAAATCCTATTCTTCCAGCGAGTGCCAATTATCTCTTGATGCGCTTTCTAGACCGCAACAAGACCACATTTTTGGTTGGCGAGTCAGACACAACATGGTAAATCACAGTCGAGAGCTCGAAATAATGGATTTCCATCCTTTTGCCACCGCCGTGAAGCTTTATCCGGACTTTTCAAAGGAACTGATAAGGACGGTCAGGAAAGTTTGGGAGGCGAATAGTATCATGGAATAGATCTTTTGATAGATGGCTTCGATTGCGCCAGGGGAAGGTTGTTTCAACCCCCTGGTTGATGACAGTCGCTTCCTTCTTTTTGCAGCGCTGAAGGGTCCCTCTTCTCCCGCCCCTTTCTCACGCTTTATGGGCACGTCATGATGACCTGCGGATATATGCTGTGCAGGGGGACCTGTGCCGCGGAAAAGCCACAACCTGGGGACGGACACTGAAGAATTCATCCGCCATATCAACCCCGAGGTATACCCCCACCACCAAGTCTCGGGCGCCACACCACACCTTGGCCTTTTGCGCCTAGGCTCGACGCGAGGGTGAGCCGTTTCGGGGCTATTTAGAATTCGCAAGACGATTCCTGGCGTGCTGATCTGTAGTGACTTCGAGATAGTAGATCTTACTCGCTTTGAGTATATCTCGGACTCACTCGTTGAGTAAGCATTGATGTTTAGCACACGGCTCCCTACTAATACGGCCCGCGCAAGCCATGGGAGACGGCGTATCTCATAGTCGTTCGTTAGAGATGGGGCCATAGATAGGGTTATCTTCGGAAGAGGCAACTTTATATGAGAAAAATATAAGGAGTTAGAGGCTTGAGATATCACCAGATGCGTGGAGTGATGGTAATCGTAGACATCACGATTAGACGCCATTACAAACAATTGTAGGCAAAGAGAGGAATTCACAACGCCGCGGCATGATATGAGATTGGCACCCATGAAGCCTTCCAAGAGTGCAAGAGTAAGGAGAGGGAAATAGGAGGGGAAAAAAAGAAGAAAAAAGCAAGTGAGAATATGACGCTGAAGGTCCTCCTACTCTGCCCGGTTTGGGGCTTGATAGGTTATAGGGAAAGACGGGAATATGATACTTAAGACAGGGAGAAGAAAAAGAAGAAGAGGATATAATGAAAGGAGACAATGAGACAAGGGTAGAAAAAGAGTTGCGCCAGTCCCATCCGTCATGAATCCCGCTCGCTATAGTCGGCGGCGCATGCCCCTAAAGTGCTGCAGCCCAAGTTTGCACACCCCCATTCATTCCCTAGAAACCCTAGGGGCTTCTAATAGTAACATGTCGAAGATTAGAGAGAGAAAAGAAAAAAGGAACCGAGAGAAGAAAAAGAAAAGACTAATCCACGATGCCGGCGGAATTCTCTCATACAATGCCGGCCGCTAGTACCCCGTTGGTTTCGCTTCAGGCTGCTCGTCACCTTGTACTGATCTTCTTCCCCCGCCTTCATACGTTCCTTGCAATCTTCACAATACCATTTTACTAGAGAAAAGAAGGCATTAGTCAACACCGAATCCAAAGAGGCGGGAAAGAGATGGAAGAAAGTCCGAGGGGGAAACATGATGCCCGAGGATGAGGGGGAGGGGGAAAGGGGGAGGGATGTCTGCGATTGGAGGACTTACCGTTTTGCTTTGGTGGCACCTTGAGTCCTGCGCACTCGAGGTGGAACCATTCCTTCTCGCAACCTTCCGCATCACAGGCGACCATTGAGCCATAGCTGACACTATTGCAGTAGCAATACGTCGGTTCGTCTGCGTCGACCTCTCCCTCTTCGTCATCATCACCCTTGGGGCTCTTATTGGCGCTTTCGCCGGATGCGTGGTGGCCCGCGCCATTACCATTGTTCTGCACCGTCGCCTTCTTGTGGCTGCGCTTTGAGCTGGACTCGGCGCGGGACGACCTCGACCTCGCCGCTTCTTGGAACGTTGCCAGCGCCGGGGTCGACGGCTTGCTCGCCCGCCCGCTCTTCGTCGTTACCGTGGGCATGGTCACGGGAATTGGGGAGGGGACAGGAACGGCTACAGGGGCTGGTATTGGCGGAGCGGGTTCGGGCTTCTTCTCCGGCTCTTCGGGCTTGGGGGTATCCTTCTTTGTTGCTACTGGCGGCGCGACCTTTTCCACGACTGGCTCGGGCTCCTGTACCGCAGGGGCGGGTGCGTCCTCGGGCTTCGGCGGCTCGCTAACCTCCTTTGTAGGCTTCGTCTCCGGCGCGGGCTTCACCCAGTTGATTGAAGGGGCAGAGGTATCAGGGGCACTGGCAGCGGTGCCATTGGGCTTGTTTGACGCTGAGGAGGATGGTCTAGCCTTGTTATTTCCGTTGCTAATTGCAGGAGCAGGGAGAACAGTGGTGGGGACTTCTGTCGCGCTTTGCGCGGGCGTCTGCCTCGCGCGGGAAGAGCCGGGTCTGGGAGTCGAGGAGCTCGGCGCGGGCGAGGCGCGTCCGGTAAGCTTAGGCTCAGGGAAAGAGCTGATAACAGGCGACGCAGTAGCTGAGGGGGCGCGTTCGAGCCATTTTTACTATGAAGCACCGTACGGTTAGCATGGCAGAAACAATCACCGATGCAATCGGGGGAAAGGCCCCCGACCTAAACAGGCCCAAGCTGGATGCCGCAAAGGAGGGAGGGTATTGGGGTAAGCCCTTAAGAATAGAACGAACCTTTTCTTAGCTTGAGGAGGACCAGTCGGTAGCGCCTTGCGTTTCTTCTGACTCTCGGGCGCCGGCGTGGTTCGGGGACTTGTTGATTTGGCCGGCTTGGACCCGTTGCTGCCAAAGACGGTGCTCATCGCACGCTCCATCGGGAGCCCTCCGTTGACCGGCTTCTCAACCTTGCGACGCTTTGGCGGGGGTTCGTGCCATTGGCGGCACTAGCAGGCGAGAGACCCAGGCCAAGGCCCACGTTATTTTCGGCGGCGGTTTTGCGTCCCTTGGTGGCCTGCGACTTTTGGACGCCTCGCCCTTTTGATCATCTGCATCGGCGTCCTGCACCTGGTTTCGCTGGTTTTTCTTGGCCTGCACCGCTTGCTTGCGGGATTCGCTCCGCGCGGCGGCCTCTTCCGCGGCCTGCTGGGCAGCGGCGGATGGGCCGTCCCGGCGGTTTGTGCGCTCATTCTGCGTCGGCTTCCCGTTCTATTTTCTGGGTACGCCCAGTGTGTTGTGCTTCCCCATTTCGCCTCCTCACTAAACTCGGTCTCTAGGTACGGCCAGGTGTCCTCGATTCGAGCTAGCTGGCGCTGGAGCACCTCGTTGGCCGTGTTTATGACGTGGTTCTTTTCATCGAGGGCGATGAGCATGTTGTTGATGTGGGACGCAGTCTCGTGAAATAGCTGCCTTCGTGGCATATTTCCTTGGCCGAAAACGGCAGCGTGGTATGCATCGTCGCTCACGGGAACTGGGCGTAGGGCATTGTTGAGGAGGATCCCGCTCCCCGCCGAGCTATTCTGGGCGCTCATCGCAGCCGAAGCCGGCGAGGCGGCTGCCGCAGACGAGTTCGAGGGCGCGTCATCGCCGACTTTTGGCTGGGGTAGGGGGAGCCGAGGCACGCGGTGATGAGGTCGCGGAGCTGGTCCTCGGGTGTCGAGATTTTGGCGTCGACCTCCTTGAGTAGAGTAAAGTGGCGGACGAGCTCCTTGGGCAGCGCAGAAATTGCGTCGGTAAAGTGTGTGAGCCCGGGAAATATCTCGATGGGCTGGTCTGGCCCTGGGCCGTTGGCTAGCTCTCGGCCGCTGGCGCTGCGCTGCAGAGCAGCCCCGAGGCTTTAGGTGGGTTCGTTCGTGTCTGTCGCACTGGCTGTAACCTGCGACCCGAGGCGGCCTCGACGGCCGGCGATTTCATCGACTTCATGAGGGGCGACGAGCGAGCGTGGCGGCTTGTAAAAATGGGTGGGCTTGGGGGCAGAGGGTAGTGGAAAAAGGGAGAAAACGCGAGAGGATCTGCAAGGCCCGTTTAGAGGAGACGAGGCCCTTTTCTTATTCTTCTTCTTCTTTTCTGTTTTCTTCCTCCTTCTCCAAATAAGAATTTATGGCCGAGTCGCTGGGAAAAGAGTAGAGGGCGGCGGAGGAGAGGTGGTCGTTTTCAATCGTCGGGGAAATCGAAGAGGAGCGTGGGCTCGACAAGGTCGGTTGCCAGGTTTTCGCGTTGTGGGCATCAAGGAGGAAAAGCGAGAGCGATGCTGGAAGGGGAAAGTAGTTGGAAGCTTTAATTGAGGTCGCCTACGACATCCTGCACCGGAATAGGGCAGTTGACCAAGGGGATCTCTCGGGGATCGGGCAAGTAGTGGGCAAAGATTTCAAAAATTGGGTGTTGGAAAAAGGCGGAGGGAGGGCCGGCATCCTTTTTCCCCAAATGACCTTGTTCTCTTCGAGCACCACTGGAGAGAAGCGAGAGAGTGGGCGGGCGGACGAGTTTCTGCCGGGGGCGTGGAAACAGTACGCGGGCGAGAACAGGTGTGCGCGGAGAAGCAGCCCCCTGCCACCTGCCATTCGACCAGCTCTCGGAATAATGTTTTTCAGATGTTCCGAGGGCGCGAGAGGTGGAGTCCCCACCCGGTGTCGGCTGCCCAAACTGCTCGATGAGCTCATCGCTCGGCCAATGGCCCAGAACATGTTGTGCATCAAATGCCAGGATATTACAACGAGTCATTCTGCACACAGCATCAGGTGGTTTTTATTTTTTGCCCGTCTCTTATGCTCAAGGTCTTCCGTCACTTTTCACGGGGCGCAAAGTCTTTGAGGATGATACAGGCTCTCTTTGACTCTTTAAACATCTAAATATTCATCATACCGATATTCCTAAACATTATGGTGAACGACATTCCATGCCTTCCTGACTCTATCCAGACGTAAGAGTATGCTGTGAGACTATGCACAAATGGAGGCGGCTGAAAGAATGCGGGTTGGTCAAGAAAGGGGGTATACATCATGTAGCGGAAAAGGGAAGGAAAAGCAGAAGGAGGGCGTATGGGCAGCCATGCAAGGCCCCGGAAATATGGAGGTGGAGCGGAGCGAGCAAGATGGAATCGCATTCAAGCGTGCCTTGCCCACGACAAAACAGAAAATAAATTCCGCAAGCCACGCAAGCCACTCAACCAAGGATGTATTTTTGGACACCAAGACTGTCGCGCCAATTGGCCTCTGCGTGCTTTTGACTTTTGACGAACTGATCCATACCCCTCCAGTCTCGAGAGGCCGCGGGGTAGGGAATCCGAATACATATAAACGTGAACACACTCTCATACAGCCCGGTAAGAATGGCTGGGCCTTGTTCATGGGGTTCCACTATGCGACAACGCGGTGGACTTTGGCAGAACGCTCTGCCCGAAGGGGCGAAGTTTCGCGCGCCTTTTGCTTCTGGCGGCGCTGCCACTCAAGGAGAACAGGGATAAAATGCTTGAGGTCGAATTCGGGCCACATGCACTCCAAAAGAAGATTTGGGTATCTTGGTGAGATTGCCAAAGCATAAAATCGCTAAGGCGCTCAACACCACTGGTCCGGACAAAGAGGTCCAAGGGGGATCCTCAGAGGTATACATGTGCTTATCTATGGTTTCCGCCGTGATGGATTCGGGGTTGGGTAGGGAGTTCCGAGTCCGGGCGATGAACGTGGGGACATGGATTCGGGGAGAGGGTGGGAGACGAGGCATTGTCATCGTTATCGTCAGCATCAGATTTGGATGAAGACGGAGGGGACGCATCGCGAATTGTGGGCAGGGGTCGCTGCGGTCGACCTCGAGGTGCTTCGTGAGGAGGTTGCGCGTGATGCGGGATTGCGAGAACGGGTTGCTCTTAGGAAGGGGAGGCGATAGGTATTCCTCGACCGTTGACCGCATTGCGGTGGTCATCTCCTCGCGCGAAGTGTAGGGAAAGCAGAGGTTGAGCGCAACCCTAGGAGCCCAAGGATGGTTAGTTTCAAACAGACAAGTCGGCCACAATAAAGGCGATGCTATGCAGCAGGCGCTTACAGGTTATTATCTTTTGTCATGTTGACTGCCCGGTCGACGACCTCCATTACGTCGGGTCGAATCAAGCTTCGTTGGCCCAAGACGCGGACGCGGGCGCCGTAGCGGTCGAGGATATCCCCATGGCGCGCAAGTTGCTCGAGCTTGACTTTGGCCATCTCCATTAGACCGTCTACCTCGTACTTGGGTCGGTTGAAATTCTCGATGCTAAAGGCATAGACCGTCACGGTCTTAACGCCGCATTTATAGCACACTTCTAGAATCTATCACTCATCGCGCGTTAGCTAATGTCACCGTCCCACGGCGTTCTAGGCGCAACCGCGTGCACTCCGGATGCCACGGCTTTGGAGGTAAGGCGGGTAGTGAGGAGAAAGGGCGTGAAATTCGTACTCTAGCTAAAGCTTCAAAACCGTGGTGGTGACCCTCAACGGTTTCCATTCGGTGGCGACGGGCATAACGGCGGTTCCCATCCATCTCGAACGCGACATGCTGGGGGATAGGACCTTGGCGCAGAGAGCCAATGGTCAGCTCCCGAAGCTGCTTTAGGGCCCATTCCGCAGGAGGAGAGCTAAAAACCATTTCCCTAGGTTTGACGGTTCGGCCATGATGAGGAATGTTTGTCGAGGGGACGAAGCGGCGAGGATGCCCACGAGGTAAAAGATTTCGAAAATGCCCAAGGTTTCAGGGGGAAAAAGGACCCAAAAAAAAGGGATCCGGCGCTGTCTTGGTCTACAATATAGGGTGTGACGTATTAAGGTTCTCTCGATCGTCCGATGCTGTTGATATATTATTATGGGAATGACCGATTAAGAAAAGAAGAAAGAAAAAAGCGAGTGGATAGGTGTTCGTTTCTGTCAGTGTCTCAAGCGTGAGAAAGGACGGAAAGCATGGAAAAAGAAAGTTGAAGGGAGACGACGTCAGCGTCGCTTGGCGGTGCAGGTGTACGAAGGCATATTACTTGTCACCTGGGAGGACGCTGCTTCGCGGAGTGTGGTTTTCCTCGCAAGGATTCGTCCGCCAACCTATGGGCAACGTGGTGCGGTGGGCGGTGCAGCGTGGTTCGTTGAACCCGTGTCGCTTCGCGACGGGTACAGGCTTAGGTAATCTTATCTTGTGTCCCAACAAGGACAGCTTCGCCCGTTTTGCATGTGCGTGCTTGCTCTGGTTGGCTTGTCCCCACCACTCGAGGCCAGCGTCACACACAGTAAAGAAGAGTTCGTTCCCAGGAAATAATTATTGTCGCATACCCGAATAGTTTCGCAATCAAGACGTGGAAACCTCTTCTCGTTTGAGATTACGTCGTGGAGTAGATGATCTTTAGCCAGAAGGGTCCCAGAGCCATACGAGGATTTTGTAGCATCACTTGCTGTTCTTTAATTGCATGAGGCAGCTTTGGTACAAGTCCGCGGGCGTGGGGCACCACTCCTTCCAATTGCTGTCGTGATGCCATTTGTCCAGTTCCGCCTTTGATCCACCCCCAACTCTAACCTCCTCGCAACTCGAAAACGTGCCGCCAACACCATCACTGCCCACCGATGCGCTCTCCCTGTACTAGATATCGTCTTTGACACTTCTTCTTCCCCACATCCCAAGACACTGTGCGCTTATTCCCCCGGAGGCGGCCTTTGTTTTTCCCACCCCTTCCAAGGCGCACCTCGTCTCTCGAGCCTCACAGCCAACACCAGCAGCATCGGCCTACGAAGCATGTGGCTCAACCCGGAGCTTCGCCATTGACACCCAACCCTGCCCCGCCATAAAACGTAACGCCCGCCGCAAAGCCACCGCATCCCCAACCGCCGCTATTCTAGCTACTTACGCACAAACCCTCGTCCTTTGCGCGCAAAAGCGCGGAATCCACAGAAGGCGGCACAATGTCGTTCACCAACGCACCCGTTTCGCGCTCCCTCGTCGTCGGTCTCGTCGGCACCTCGGTGGCCGCGACTCTGTTCGACGTGAAGCACTACTTTTACATCTTTGCCGACTCCCACATATGGCACTACCGTCAGCTGTGGCGGGCCTTCACCTACCAGCTATGCTTTATGAACTCGAGCGAGGTGCTGTTCGCCTGCATGGCCATCTATAACCTGCGCGTAGTCGAGCGCATGTGGGGGTCCAGGAAGTTCGCCGTAAGCCGCACCTCTCTTCCCCCATGGCCCAGCACTGCCCTACCCTTTCCCTTCCCCATGGGCCCTCTTCACTCACTTCTTTCGTTGTTTCTTCCTTCTGACTAACCCTTGACACTTCGTTCTCCAACAGTCTTTCCTCGCAGTAACGTCCGTTTTCACAGCCGTCCTTCCCGTCGCCATCCTCTCCCTCCTCCAACCCATAACGGGCGGCTTCTTCAACTACCTCCCCGCCGGCCCCACCGCCCTCATCTTTGCCATCCTCGCCCAATATCATGCCGTGATTCCCCACGTCTACCGGTACAGGATTGCCACCTCGGACAGCGCAACCCCAGCTGCCTCCACCGCCGCCGCGGGGCCTCCTCCTCGGGCCCCTCAGCCACGGGCGACGGCTTCACCGGCCTCACCCTCTCCGACAAGTCCTACCGCTACCTCGTACCACTCCAACTCGCCCTCATGCAGTTCCCTGCTTCCCTCATCACCGCCCCTCTCGGCTGGGCCCTCGGCTACGCCTGGCGCTCCGGCGTTTTCCCCGCCCGCCTCACCGCCTGGCGCGTTCCCGCCTGGCTCGTCGGCGGTACATCCAAGAAACCCTCTGCCCAGTTTGAGGGTTTGCGGAGGCGGCTCGAGGATGAGGATGCCGACCCTACCGCCGCCACAGCCACTGGTAGGGAGGGCCAGGAGAGGTCGGGCCCCCAAAGGAGAACCGTCACGCAGGAGATTTTTCAACAGTTTTTGTGAAAGGGGATAGACTAAAGGGGGTGGATCATTGGAACCCCGAAACTAATGACAAGAGCTAGTAGTTCTTGATTGGGCCAGGTATAGCATCCTACGGCACGCTCTCATTGTATATAGGGTTGACGATTAGAGATTGCAGAGCAGGATAGAATAAGTCCGGAAGCAATATTATTTACCCTACAGATCATGCCTTCCGTTCCATCGAATGCCCATTCTTTCACAAGTCACGTATAGGCTTTAGCAGCGTCAAGCAGGCTACTCTAGTATGTCTAACTCTCTTTTTTAGTCTTGTGTTGAAAGTGTAAAGCAAGAGGCCATCTTACGGCGAGTATCAGCGTTACATCCATGGATCAATATAATCGCAAAACGTACGACTGCGGAGAGACATGCGGCACGCAAAAGCATAGAGTGGGGAGAGGACAGTGTTAGACTTGAAGTGGTAAATATTTTCGTGGTTGAGAGGAAAGATGAGCGATGGCAAAAGCCTACCGTCCCGTATCAAGGGAGAATATGTAAACAAAAAAGACTAAAGACTAAGCTGACCCAATATCATTTTTGTTCGCCTCTCAGTCTCCCATCTTTTCTTTTCAGCTGCGCCCTTCAACAGACAGGCCAGCCACATGTACAGACAGCTGACTGCTTTGCTCCGAATCATGTTCCTTTACTTCCAGGCATGTCTCCTTCACGAAACATGGGTTCACCATCTTCTCTCTTTTGTTTTCCTCTCTCTTCCATATTAGAGGGTATGTGGCAATGAGGTTGATCAACAACCTTCCATTTCCCCTTCGGCTGCATCCTCCTTCGTGCCTTTTCGATCTTTTCGATAAATACAGACAACGAAGAAGCACGGGGTATGTGCCTATTTGATGAGAAGAAGAAAAAGGGGGTACCTCGGCTCCTCAGGGGCTGCTGATCAAAACCCCGATTAGAGGACCAAGAAGAATCAAAGTAGAAAAAGAAATGCGGGGGAAAAAAAAAGGATAAGTCAAAAGATGAATCGACATTGTGCATGTCGATGGATATCCCCACCCAAAAACCCAGTCTATAAGCCGTAACTCCAGGGACTAGTGCGAAAGCGGCAAGAAAACGGAGGACAAAAAAATATGCTGCGACAAATGAAAGAAAATAACTTGGGCGAGGTGATAGTAGGGAGAAAAAGGAGTGCGGAGGCTAATGACGGGCCATCCAGGAAGGAGTTGTTGTGTCTGTGGGTGTCCGCGCGTAGATGAGTATTAAGGCATGTATGAGGGGAAAGGGGAAACGTTGGCGGGCTCTGCGGTGAAAGACGGGTACGGATGATAAATTTCGCAGTTGAGTGCATCCCATCGCAAGCTGCATTGACGACGGTTTCGGATCATGGTTCAAATCTGGTCGGGTTCCGTTGTCATCTCGACATCCTCCGAGTACACCAGGCTTGACCAGACCCTCCAGTGGATGATTCCGAGATGCGCGAGGCGGACCGCAATGTCTTCAAGGCTCCCGTCCTCTCGGGTTTCCCGAGAGCTTTCCTCCCGGTCACGCTCTTGATAGCCATACGAGTTATTGGGCCGGCTGCCAGATGCGATGCCGAACAAGCTAACACCGGACAAGCCCCGGAACTGCTTAACACGCGAGGCGAGCTCATTAGAAAGCCTGCCGAGGAATTTCTCCTCCACTTCCCTGTATTTGGCGCCGTGGACATCATTGATCAGAGAAGCAATATTTGCCTCGAGTACCGGTAGAGCGTGCTGCGGGGCGTTCGTGTAACGGAAAACTTGCAGAGCCATCGACGGAGCAATAGCCTTCCAGCGGGCGGCCGGCTTAGCGGTGGATGGGGCCGTCTGCAAGAGGGAGACAAGCGAGCTATAGAGCTCGTTCGCCTTGGCCCTGGAGCGAGCGTTGTCTGCGGCCGTCGGCGTGGGAAGCACAAGAGAGGTGCGCGGAGAGGAGCTTGCGGAGCCGGCGGTGCTGAAGACGAGGCTAGAAGGGCGCGACGAGCAGGTTGACGCACATCCACTAAAGACGGAGTCGGGAGAGCCCGGCCTCATCTGGTCCGTCAACCCCTGCAAGGCCGAAGACAGGAAAAGAGCGCCGTATCCCGACTCCATTTCCTCAAACGCCTTCATGCAGATGTCCAAGTTGATAGCGTCCATCATGTCAGATCGAAGCTTCATGATGCGCTCTTCGTCAAAGAGAAAAGTGTTTGGCAGGGTCTTCTCATTCACCGAAGGGAGAAGAAGTCGAGAGAGGCCTTCAAAAAGATTGTCATATCACCAAAGGCTTGCGTGTTGCTAGGAGTGAGGAGGGGCGAGAATCTTTCGCAGGCGTCTCCGTACCAAATCTTGGCAGAGTCGGTTTCGACTTTGCCGGCCGCCATTTTTCGCGAAAAAGCGCTGTTCAAAGTTGACCGTGTCCTCAATCAGCGCCGGACGGAGACATCTTATCTGGTGGTTTGCGACATCCAACTTCATAGCCTCCAAGACGCTTAGCAAACTCCTCATGCCTTTGACGAGCTCGCCCATGTCATTGTTCCGGTTACCGTTGCTGAGTTCGTTGTACATCTCGTCAACCCATTCGTCGCGCATCGGTGCGCAATGAGATTTCAAAACTTTGGAAAGCCAAAGGGCTAGTTTCTCTAAATCGGCAACACCCATGTTGAACTGTTGCATGAGCAGGTCCACATTTAGGCCCTCGTCAAGATATACCCGGTCACGCTGGGGCACCAAGGTTTGGATAATCTCTTTAACAGCTCTGAGAAGGGCCGGAAGGCACCAATCGTCACCCTTTCCGTGCTTCGCCTCGAAACTAGGCCGGTCCATGACGAACTCGTTGAGCTGCTCTAGGAGAGCATTCCAGAACAGGTTAGCGCGCTCTTGCTTCCTCCTTCCCTTTTCTCCCTCTAGGTTAGGACGGAAATGCAGATCGGGATCGTAATTAATATCGTGGCGAAGCTTAGGGTTGTGAATGATTTTGGTTACGTCGAGCTCGCTTAGTGTGGCTTTAGTCACGGGAGGCTCAAGCGGCCTGGACATGCGCAGAGAATAGGGAAGATAGCAGCTTCCAGAACGGCTATGGGTCGAGCCAGTGGAGGCGGCAGGGTATGCGTTTGCGAGCTTCCCACCAGGAGTTGCTGCAGGTTCGTCGAGGCGTCGTAGCGGTTCGACATATTGGGTTTGAGAGTCATCCTGTGGCTGGGGGATACAATTCTCTACTTCGGTGTCAGGCAAGGGCTCGCTCTGTGTGTTAGGTCTAGGCGGGGATCCCCAAGGGCACCCCCACCGGTTCCTTGTTCCGTCGTCATTGTGAGGCTGAGATGTGTGAGATGGTGGGCTAAATGAGTGAGGGATCGCACAGGGCACCGTCGTCGGGTGAGTATCGTCCGAAATTCCGGAGGCGTAAAGGCGAGCCCGGGTCGGGTCTAGCGTGTTGCTGCGATAAAAAGAAAAGGAGCCGGATGTGATCACAAGTTGCTGTCTACACCCTGGGGTCAGTCCGTCATATTTATTTTAAGCACAAGGCAGGACAGGGTAGTGGTGGACAAGTTGTCAAGGGGTGGCACGAGTCACGGGGCAAGTGCTGCAAACACGAAGCAGGGCAAAGTTCGAGTAAGACGACAGGTCTCGTGAAAACGGGTAATGGCAGTTGACTTGCCGTCTACCCTGTGCTTCGAGGGTAAAGAGGAAACGGGGCCAAAAACAGACGGGAGGGGTGATTTGGGACGTTTGCTCACAAGTGTGCGGCTTGGGTGGTGAAGAGACAGGTTCGGGCAGCTTATCCCGATGGCCTCTGCAGAAGAAAACAGAAGCAAGACGTCCGCGGTGGATGTGACAACCAAGAGGAGCGGTGTATGGAGATATGCAAGGGAAGTCGGCTGGCGAGGGATATGTCGCGCAAATGCGCCAAGAGAGAGGCAGGCGAGATCGTGAAAAGAGCGGAGTGGCCGCTAAATGGGCAACAGAATGAGTGGAAAGGCCAAGATCCAAGTGATGTGAAGGAAAGGGGGATGGGTTGAGGGAAGCCGTGAGGGTGTCTTGAGGGAGGAGGTATATAAGTGTATAAGAGAAAAAAGGCCCAGTGGGGAGTTTGACACTAGGCTCAAAGCGCAAGACAGAAAAGGTCTGAGATCGTTTTCAGGGCAAAGGGTATTGTTCCCCGCAACTGAGTGGAGCAAAGCTTGGGCTTCTCGTGAGGGGAAAAAGAAAAGAAGGAGAAAAAGGAAAGAAAAGAAAAGAAAGGGAGCAAAGAATTCGGAAGAGTGTGCGAGACGAAATTCCTTACCAGAGCAGGAGTGGCCGGCTTGGTTCTGGTCGACCAGACGTGGCGTTAGACGTTGCCCATGCGGTGTGTTGGCAAGAGGTAGGAGCTTTGGATTGCCAGAAAGGGGGCTAGAGAGAACTTGGGCTTCGTACGGGCAGCGTTGCGGATCGATGGAGAGGAATGGCGCTTATAATTCCAAGTAGTGGCAAGACGGGATTCCGGGCGTGGGTCTGTTAAAATGCGAGACGCCTTCCTTTCCTGCTTGTCCTCCTCTTTCTTTCTTTTTGCCCCGATCCGGCGTTGGGTGTTGATCAAATTGTGGACAAGACCCGCCGAAGTAAAAGCAGACGATGGGTTAGGGTGGAATGGCGAATGGGTCGTCCTTCTGCAGCTCGACCTGTCGGAGACCACGGTGTTAACGCTGGTGCTGGTGTTGTTGGCGGCGGCGAGGGTGGTGGGTGTAAAGTTGATGGTGGTGGTGGTGGTGGTGGCGGTGGCGGTTTTATGGTAGCAAAGGAAACAACAGTTCTGATGTAGATAAGGAGCGGCGAGAAGCTGAGTTCAAAGTAAGAAAGAAATAGGTCAAGGGAGAGACACGACTTTCATATCCAAGTCGGAATTGGAGAAAAAGAGAAAAGAGCACGACGGCGGGAAAAGGTTCAAGAAAAAGAAAGGGAGCGAGATGGACTGAGGAGGACAAAACGGAGAGGGGGAAAGGGAGGAAAAGGGAAAGAAAGGAACATTGAAGAGAGAGGAGGATCGAAATGAGTGCTGCCGACGAGCATTGGGCTATATTAGCTCTGTACCTCCAAAAGGACAAGACCAGGAGGTGAGAGACAGAAGGAGCTGAGTACTTGCGAACTAAATAACTGGGTCCAAGAAAAAGGAAGGGTTGACCAGCAGGCCAGGGGCAAGCGATAATGGCTGCGACTCCGTAAAATGGGGGCATAAAGTCCATGTACCTGATATGAGACGAGTGCAATTATTGACCACACGCTGTAACGCCTAGGGACTTTGATGGCGGCCTGCCGTTTTGCATTACCCCGTAAATCTCTAGTCTTTATTAGTGCACGAGCTTCGGCTAGATCGCTGGCTGGCAAGTCTGCACACCAAGCACTTGAGTACATCCAGGAACTTGAAGTAGGGTAGGGTAGGGTAGGTCTGGGTGGGAGGTTAAGCCCCGTGATTTTTGCTGTTGCATTAAAACTTTTCTAACGGTGTCCGATGATTACGGTCCATCCAGACGGCAGGGTACCACAGATGATAGCAGGGGGCAAGCGCGCGGGCGCGGGGTTCCTGAACACTCAAGGGTGTGCCAAACCCTTGCCGAGAGCGTAGTGGTGGTGGGTATCAGAGCACGGAATGGTTGCCACGCTGCCAGGACGGCTCTTCGATCACAATTTCATAGATGAGTCCTTGTGAGATGGTCTTGTGAGATGGTGGGGGAAACCTCTCGGGTTACAGCAACTGTCAGAGACAAACCCAGCACTGCAAAGTTCTTGGGTGCATCCATAGATCAATTGATCAATGGTTGATTTGGCGGAGACCAGCTTAATAGTTGATGCGTTGGTGTGCACGACTTGGAGACAGAGCCCGTGGATTGAGGGAGAGATCCACCCACACTTACTGTTGTTTGATCCCTGGCTGCATCTAGCCTGGCAAAGGAAGAATTTTGAACACTGTGCCTCCCAGCCCAATACTGTTGCGGATCCTGATCACAAATGGCACCATTTGCGGCTCGACGCTTCGAGTTGGGCTGCGCTGAGGCTCAGGGTTGACAAACCGACGTTGAAAGTATTGCGCCGTTGCATTAGGTGCGGCAACCCAGGCCCCTCCCCGAAAAGGTACATGCTCCCAAGGGCCAGACAAGCCACGCTAACAAGTCAATTTCGCAACCCGTCGACCAAGGCACCTCAGAGGGCTCAATCCCATTGATTTACACTGCAGGTAGCCTCGCATGCTCCATCAAACGAACATTGTCCTGCAGCCAGCATCAAATTCAATCCTCGATTGCCTCAGCGAAACCCCAGCGCCGTGCGCGCTTTTGATCAAACACGAAGGACATGGAGCAATGCTACCTCATTATCCTCGCTCTACATTTTAACCATACAAGTAGGAGCCTGCATATTGAAGCATTAAACATCACATCTCCTCTCCGAATTACTCCAAAAGCTGGGGAACCCGATTCCTCGAACCCGACGGCGGCAGCTCGGAAAGACCTCCACCGTGAAGAATGGGGACATTGATGTGTAAACTATGAACTATGATCACGGCATCGGACGTGCACACCTCATACCATATCCCACCTCTCTTTTCCCTGTATTACCCTGCCCATCGCTTGATTAACCACCCTTCTTCCCCGACCCTGGACATTCAGCCACAGATTACTCGGGGGTTCCTCTGGTTGCGTTCGTCGGCTCCTAATGTATAAAGTAGCACCGGTATACCATCTTTGCATCAACTATTATTCTGCATGCGGAGCTAGTCAGGGTTTACCCGCCATTCCACCCATCCAGCTTGAGCTCAAACCAAACCAATCCAGCAAGCTACTTCCAATAACTCGCAGCTGGAAGCCCAGCTTCGTTCCTCCCCACTAACCTCGCCCATCCATGGGTCTTGGTTAGTCCCGTGCACATCACCCAAGATTAGTTCTCAACCACTCCCACTGTGAAGAGCTGCAACACGGAACCGGAGCAAGGCGCAAAGAGCTGTCTTTTCCATGCCCATTTCCACCCATCCCACCTTGCTCCCCCTTTTGCATTATCAAGCCAGGCACCCGATCAGCGATCCCTCCACCCCTCCCCCACCCGCCTGTCATACATGGAGACTCCCAGCAGGGATGAGACCCAAGCAAGGACCAACGGCCGGAGCCCGGAGCTGAGGCTATCAAACAAAACACATGAGAAGAAATCGTCTCTTCTTTCGTACTTTTCCCGATCTTTGCCCAAGCTCTTCTCTTTTTCTTCGTTTTTTCTCCTCCCCCTTTTTCGGGCTCGGTTGCGCCTGCTTCGTATCTATTACATTCCATATTCGCTGGTGTTCTTTCCAGTGATACCGGGAAGATTGGTCGATACTCTTAGTGGAGCTGTACATGGGTGAATCTACAACATTGAAGTAGTCAATCCATTGTTAGGTAGCCACAGTGCACTTGTTCGCCCTGGTTTCAAATGCAGGTGTAATACCAGTAGGATCCACTGAGCTATTGAATGCTCCGACAACATGAACCTTTTATTCTTGCGTGCTGCCGTCTTTCGGGGAATCCTACCATTTCTCTTTTCTTTTGTGCTCTGACAGACTTGAAGCCAGGGTGTGGTAACGGAGTTTATCAAGGTCACTTGCTCGCCCTTCCGTTTTCCTTTCCTCACCAAAGCCCAAGATTTCGTCCTCCCACCGTTGTACGCCTTTTGAGGTAAGGCCGAGACCGCGCCGCAAATGGATGCAAAGCAAGCTTGGAAAGCCATCCAAATTTTGAACTACTATACGAACCAGTCAAGTAAAAACAATGAGAGGACGTCGGTGGCGGAAACCGCCAGGCCCAGTTACGCTGCTGGCTCACACAAAATCCCCTCCCCTGTTTCTTTCTTTTTTTTTTTCCTAAGCCTAGACAATTGAACACTTGCAAGACCTGCCGCGAGCCGTCGCAGTCTCAGGCCAAGCTAGCCAATGTCTAGATGCGACTAGGTTTTTGGCATCCCGAACAGGAGGAGCGTAGGTCCAGGGCTGGAATGCAAACGACAGGTCTCCCAACACCACAGGGTCGGCGTCGACACGAGCG